ACGGGCTCAGAATCTGTCCGGCAGATACTACAACTCGCTAGTTGTGTGTTTGCGCGTTTGTGCTAGCGTGCAGAATTGCCTCGCTCGTTTGAGAAGCGGAGAATGAGTTATACCTTTATCAGTTGGTGTTTACTGTATCTCGGTTCATACGGATAATGCGAGTAATGCCCGCAGTGGAGCCAAACCTGCAGTATCGTCGCATTTAGGGCAGCAAGAAGGTAGGTGTAGACGGTGGTTTGTGATTATCACCGTGACAATGTCACATGACGTAACTCTCGTGGAATGCAGGGATGATAGACAGCAATTAAGTGTTACATGACTTGTGTATATCATAGTACGTAGGTCTAGTTCGTATTTCCTACGAAGGAATCTATTGAAACTATTACAGTAATACAGTAACAGTAGAACCGTGCTGAAATGACATCAAACGATTCGTTCTAAGTTTTGGAACAGTCAAGTATGGTCATATGTGAACAATCCTGTCAGGTAGTCTGACTCGGGCCTCTGTATACTTGCTCGTCCCACACGTGCTGTTCTCAGATCCCTTCATACCAGGCTCTACCAATCGTGGTAAAGATGCAGTGAAACTCCCAGTGTCGGCGTACTGGGGCTGCTTGTCCCACCAAAACGCGCTAGTCATAAAGTCACTGCTGGGCCCTGAAGCCCCTCGACAGTTTCGCGGTCTCGTAACGAGACTCTCGTTGATACTGCCTTCAAGCTCCGTAAATTCGTTCGAGCGGATTCCGTATCTAGAATTTATAAGAGTCATCCTTTATAAGTGTTCGCTTGATACTGACTAAGGTTGATCGACTGCGTGTTGTGAATTGCGACGAAATCATCGACATCCAGGATCTCAGATCCTGATCAGCGAGCATTGAGATTGTTAAACTTCTTCCTAACACATCGCACTTCTACGGCACCTGGAAGCTTATTCAGTTGCACCTGAATTCGAGTCTTCTAGCGAAGAGGCCGATAACGACGACTACCTCGGAGGCTCCGCAAGAATGGAATTTTGCCCGATACCAATCTTGACGACAACACCGACCTGTTGTCAGGTTTGACCCCAGCTTGCTCGGTCCTGGGGGACGTAAGGGAAGGAGTGATTGAAATTAAGCAGTGACAATTTATACAACTCATTCTAGCTAAAGCGATGAGGGAAGCTAGGGGGAAACACGACGTGTTCAACGTTAAACATGAAAAACAGCGGAGGCAGAAGACAGTATCGAAATTAGGCAGAGGCAATATAACTGAAGGAAGGGGTAATGGGCCACGGCACATCCAGTGCAATTGCATGCAACTGCAATTGCTGAAGTTGCATTTGCTCGCAATTGCACTTTTCGAGCGCACTTTATACATATCACTCGTGGCTTGTGACACCGTGTATTACTTCATATCTTAGCACACCAGCAGAAAACCTTCTCCGCAATGGTCTAGCTGAGTGGAACGCAAAGAGAAGATTTGCACAGAGGGCGGCAATTGGATTCCGATAGGGTAGTATCAATGATGTTACATATTCATCAATTATACGATATCACGCAGCATGCTATATGATGTAGCTTCATACGACCATAGTATAATTTTATTATCGAATTTTTATAAAGCTGCAAAACATACTTTACGCAAGTGCGGCGGATCATCCAAGCTCGAAGCAGTAGAAGTACTGTAGCTGGCGCACGTGCAGTGGGCGTGCGTGGACAGCTAACGTTCGTGCAGCGTGTGCTGCATTTGTGACGGCACGTTATGATGACGTGACGCGGCGGGGGGAGCGGGGGAGACTCCCCGGTGGTGGGCTAGTTCATGAGCCTTATCATGTCTGAGTTCGACACGTCAATCAGGGATAGCACCATAGAGGAGGATGCCTCTAACAAGTACTGCAGCACCTCACTCTCCTTATTCATGCAGAAACTCAGCGACTACCTTGGCCCGAGGAGACGCACTTCGTCATCGAGCTGCGCTTCTGCGATTTGCGCTCCCGGTACTAACACCAGCCAGGAAGACCTTAGCCAAGCTATTGTGGACCAGACCCCCCACCATACCATGGTCACTCACTTACTAACTACAGATGGCAGAGTCGTCTACGCACCCTATAGGAACAGCGGTTCACGGCCTGTGATTGAGGAACTCGCCGAGCGTATCGGATACGCTCGCACGGCTCACGCTGGAATCCAGCGGCTGGATACGGCATGGATACGTACACATGTACGTCGTTGTACATGGTTACCTCAGTTTAGTTTAACAGCCTCAACTACGGTAAGTCTCCCATCCAGGATTGATCGGGAACAGCACAGCGATAATCCAGTAAGAGAACACAAACCTGTGGGCCCAAAAACTCCGAACCCGAAACCTGTACGTCGGTCGGAATTCGAATAAGTTTTGCGATTCACAGGATTTGTGGTTCTTACTGGTTACGCCACATCACGCGAGACTGCCCAAAGCATGAAGGCTTTCCGTACAACGTATGTGCTTGGGCAATCCACGAGATCCAACCGGGGAGAGGAGGGTGTGCCGAAAGTTGACGATACGTCACAAACTGCGAGAGTCAAGTTGCATCATATTGTACACATTGAAACGCGGTATACGATCCGTTATCGTTGCCACGCCTTCTTATCATGTGAAACGCTTGCGCACACTGCGATTGTGTGCGTTGTGTGGTTGACAACTAACCTTGTCTACTTCGTAAACTCCAATTTTGACGAATTACCGTATTCGTTTTTTCATCGTCAGCTATCCCTAGAACCGTCAATAAAAACCAAGTACATTACTTTAACCAAACTTTTCACACAACATGGTATTGGCTCGAGAGGAGAGAAAAAGTGATGAGCCACTCACTGGTTGAATATCTCAATAATTCACCCCTGGAACATTGTCAATTTGATCTAAAAACCAAAACATGAACGCACAAATTACCAACAAATTTCGCCCGAAAAAATGAACGACGTAATTCTCCGATAAGAAAAGAGAAATGCTTTTTACAATTCTACGAACCGCGCTGTAGTCTGACATCAGCAATCTTCACTTGAAAAAAACCGAGAGAATCACTAAGGCGCGAAAACACGTTCAATCAAGTTTCTGTTATTCTATCACTAAGTAGACGTTAGTTCTCTCAATCGAGATCATGCAACATTCACAAGAAAATTTCCAATAATTTTTCCTCTAAAAAAATTAACCTTCTATGGTGAGCATCAGCTCAAACCAGTGTCGGAATATGTGTGTGCTTTCCTCAGCTGAACTTAGGGGTTTCCTCACTAATTATACAAGTTTTCCCACGATTTCGGGTAAAAGTGTACAGAATCCAACAAGAATTTTCATATTTTCACCACCAATTCATGTAGTTTACCATATGCATATATTTTTCACACTGCACCAAAACCCAACGTAAAAAAGAGTGAAAAAATACGTCCTACCTTAGCAGGCTGTTGTTGCTCATCACAAAGAAGTTCTGCGCCGTACCCGCGGTCTTTCGCTTCTTTCACAATCAATTTTATCACGTCTTTCCAATCCTTTTCGGAAAAACTTGAGGAAAAAATCGAGAAATCATATCGCTCTTTCATATCGCATTTACCCGAAATTTCTATATTTCCCACAATTTCATGAGAAATCTCATTATTTTCCCACAATTTCATGAGAAATTTCTTTATTTTCCCACAATTTATGAGAAGTTTCATTATTTTCCCACAATCTCATGAGAAATTTCTTTATTTTCCCACAATTTATGAGAAATTTCATTATTTTCCCACAATCTCATGAGAAATTTCTTTATTTTCCCACAATTTATGAGAAATTTCATTATTTTCCCACAATTTGTGAGAAATTTCATCCTTTTCCCACAATGTATGAGTAAATTCATTATTTTCTCACAATTTTTCATGAGGAATTTCATTATTCTCCCCCAACTTCATGAGAAATTTCATTTTTCCCATTTTTTTAAATTTTTTTCCACCAAATCTGTACGAATCCTCAATATTCTCCACATTTTTACGGGAACCTTATCTTATATAAAATTTCATTATTTTGCCCCCAAATTTTCACAAATTTTCCTGAAATTTTCCTGAAAAACCTCACTGTATTTACTCTTCGATCAAAAGCCTCAATTTCGGCATAGTCTTCGACCACCCCTCCTTAGTCATGTTCGCCACTTGTTCTGATTTGAGATTCTTCCACATATTCGTGTATACAAATCTGAATCAAATAGGAAGTTTTATATCTATCAGTTTTGAGAAGTGTTGGAGGGATAGATGTTTGCTTTCCTCAGCTGAGCTCGGGGAATTTGGGTAGAAGTGTACAGAAACCAACAAGAATTTACCAAATTTTCCTCATAATTTTCATAGTGTCACCAACACCAACACATGTAGTTGATGATGACCATGTGCATATCCCTTTCCCCCCACATTTTCATATTGTCATCATCATCACCAACACATGTAGTTGATGACCATGTGCATATCCCTTTCCCCCCACATTTTCATATTGTCATCATCATCACCAACACATGTAGTTGATGACCATGTGCATATCCCTTCCCCCCCACATTTTCATATTGTCATTATCATCATCACCAACACATGTAGTTGATGACCATGTGCATATCCCTTTCCCCCCACATTTTCATATTGTCATCATCATCATCACCAACACATGTAGTTGATGACCATGTGCATATCCCTTTCCCCCCACATTTTCATATTGTCATCATCATCACCAACACATGTAGTTGATGACCATGTGCATATCCCTTTCCCTCCACATTTTCATATTGTCATCATCATCACCAACACATGTAGTTGATGACCATGTGCATATCCCTTTCCCTCCACATTTTCATATTGTCATCATCATCACCAACACATGTGCATATTTTCCCATACCATATATAACTAACGGGCTCATTTCAGAGCGAAACCGCGCGCGTGAACAAAACGATATTTTCGTCGTTTTTTCCTTAAACGAGCTATGTATTTTTCCATGAAAAAAATCCCAAAAATTTCCAATTTGAATTTCCTCCTCATCCGTGCGCCCTTCAAACTATTTAAATAAATTCCAACCTAAAATGAATAAAATCAATACTCCTACTTGAAAATTTCCTGCGCAACGAGTAACTTCGCCGTTTTCTCGGGAGCCTGAACGATCGCCGTACTGTTCGCCACAAGAGCTTTCGAAATGCTCTGCATCGACGCAGTATCAAACTTAACAGAAACCTGAAAGAAAACAATCGCACTGCGAAGAATATCTTTAGGTTCACCATGGCACCTCACAGATAAAAAGATTCTTCACTTACATCGGATGGTAAGCCGAGTTTTCGACACTCATGTCTTATCGAATCTTCCGTAACTTCTATCGGAATCGTAATTTGCCCGCGAGTGTACCACCCCAGAACATACCTACACATAGGCACACACCGCGCTCGCCCATTTAATCGATTTTATTCCTGAAAGATAAATTATGAAATTTACGCACAACTGAATAGAAACCCCCGAAAAAATTTCGTAAAATTATTTTTCCCAAAAAATCCTTTTTTTTCTCATCAATACACACAGACTCACTTCGACCACAAAATTCATAATGTAATAAATTTCCGGAAAATTTTCCCAAAATTTTTTCCACCTACTTCTTACGGGAACAATTCTGGTTGCGCTTCGTTCAACTCCACAGCGCTCGTCGAACCTTCCTCCAATTCTTCCACTCTTTTACTCAGCAAAGTCGCCGGTTTACTTTCCAATTCCGAGATCAATATGGAATGACGGCGGCCACGTACGTCAATTTCAATATATTCCTACGGGAGACAAAAATGCACAATAAAAATCGCTTCGCTCCGCCTAGTTACTCCTGTAGATGAACTCGAGGCGGTAGAGCGATCCGAAATCTTCCTTTTTTTGGGATTGTTTGTTGTGTTGTTGGTGGTAACTCGTCCTGAAATATAAGGGTTTTTAAAAGTGGGTTAAAACAGTACGTTGCCAATCGGATTTTTTCACCCATATATAAACGTTTGCCCCCCGGGAATCTCCCTTTTTTGGGGTTGTTTATGTTGTTCCTAACTCGTTCTGGAATATGATGGTATATTCACAATTGGGTAAAAACAGTACGTTAGATCCAAATCGGAATTTTTCACCCACTTATAAACGTTTCCCCCATATTACTATTTCTCTTCTCAACCGCGGGTCCGCCCCGACTATCATCACCAAGCACACCTAAATGGACCTCATCCGTATCTTACCATCTCAACCTAAAGATACCCACCTGTTCCATCAGGACTCTCCTCCTTTACCCTTCCACCTCTCTGTAGTTGCTCGCCAAGTCCAGTCGGAGAATTTGATGACATCAAAATTAACAATCTGTTCACAAAATGTTGGGAAAAAAATCTGGAAATTTGCGGAAATTTTTGAAAAATATGCACATGGTCATCAACTATTCCTTAAAAAGTCTAAAATCATTTTTCGACAAATTTCAATCAATACTATTCACGGTGATATGCAAATATATTTTTCACTCGTGTTTTTCATATCACTAGGGTGGTGAAACTCCATTGTGTCGAGTAAAATCCAAATTCATATTTTTCCATGCTGAAAGTATAAGAGTATGTAATGAAAATTTGTGAAAGGAATTCGAAAATGTGACATTTTCACGCACGATTATATTCACGTTGCTTTGAAATATTAATGTCCACTCGAAAAATATTCAATTTTGATTCACCTCTAGAAAAACATTTTTTTCATCATCACAATTTTATGCAATTTTTCCGCCCAATCGAAACATAAATCCCAAATTCTTTTCGTACCCTTTTTTCCATAACCAAAATTTCAACCAACAAAAAATTTTTCAAAATTTACGCAGTATTTAGATAAATTCTTCCCCCCAAAAACCCAGCGAAGCCCAACCATCAAAATCGTCACAACAAAACTCGCTTCGCTTCGCTAAAACGTTACTTGGTAGGAACGTGAGGAATATATAACACTTGGTAGTATCTTAGGTTCTTCCTGACAAGATACAAAATAGGTCCGAAAATAGGCATGAAAATTTCACTCTTTTGTATAAAATTTTCCCCAATTTTTCCATAGAATTTTCCGATTCTTTCCGATTCTTTCCCATTATTTCTTCACTTTTTTCTCAATTTTCACCAAAATTCCTCAAATTTTCCCAATAACCCATACCACACTTCCCCCACTATTACATGCCCTCCTATCGTCCTGACATCCGTACGGGTCCTGCAGCCTCCGGCTAACCCTTCCCTGCGATCCAGGATTATGAACAACTGCAGATGGATTTATTTTCGTGGCGAGTGACGCTGAAACTCTCCCTGCATAGTCATCATACAATTTTCCTTCACTTTGCTGCTTATCTCACAAAAAAAACAAAAATGACAAAAAAAATCGCTTCGCTCCGCCTACTTTTTCCCGCTTTTTTCATAGACATTCTCAACGCTCTTTTTGTCGGCTTCTTTTTCTCCCGCATTTCCTCATTTTTCTCGTCAATGTCATTTACATTTTCATCAACATTTCCCCGAGATTGCAGGAATTCGTGCAAATCTTTCAGTTCCAGAGCCTGAAATCATACAATCCGAATCGATCAGAATTTTTCGGAGAATTTTTCAACTACATAAGAGACGTTTTCCACATTCACATTATCAAAAACGGAGAGTAAGACTTCATTCCACCGTCTTCAGTGAAAAAAAAATATTATTATTTTTTTCCTTGCGCGACACCCATTCTAGGAGGCGAGTAATAGCCAGTATAGATGTATAGCTGCGGGCCTCAGTGAGTGCTGCCTGAGCCCTGGTGTGAAGCGGTAGGGAGCTCGACGAAGGTATTATTGGAGTTTCACGACTACCCCTTTTACGTGAAGTGGCGTCGTAAAACTCGTCGTGAAAAACGCGATATTCGCGATGATATGCAGTAGTCGTGAAATACCTTTCTCACTAGTAATTTTCATATCACTATTATTAAAAAATTATTATTTTCATTTTTTACAAAATTCTCAAATATCGAAATCATAAAATACCGTAAATTTACGAATTAACGCGCACAAAATAATATATTTTTTTCTCCTATATCAGCTTTTACTATCTTTGAGATTCGCGCTGCTGATAAACAGTGCGGGGGAAAAATTTTTCCGATTTTTTTCGGAAAATATTCCGATATTTTCGATTTTTTCCCGGTATCACCTATGAACTTAAGTAAAAGTATAAAAATAAAGTTGAATTTATCCACAAATTTAATTCTCTACATATTGGACTTTCATCCGTTTTCTGCGAGCGGAATATGTTTTTCACTAGTAGTGTTTTTCATATCACTACGGTGAAATTCCATCATCACTTGACATGATAAAAACTAAAATGATTAAAATAAGATAATATACATTTCCCATTTTCCCAATTATCAACTTTTACTACCATTTCGTCCTCAGCCATAACCCCCTCATCTGCATCGTCACTACTCGCCACTACTGGAGCCACAACACTACTGTTATCGTCAATGACTGCAGTCGAAGTAGCAGTAGATGATATTAGCAAATTCGGAGGATATTCGAAATGGGGTGTATCTGAAAATGAAACTTTTATATGAACAATCGTTTTCACAGTTAATAAAATCAAAAACCACCCGAGCAAAGCGTCAAGTAGTATTGTAAACAACAATGGAGAGAGAGATGGCTTGTTGGTCCATCGATTTAGGTATATATTTAGAGATGATTAAACTATGGAGTTTCACGACGACCCGTTTTACGTGAAGTGGCGTCGTAAAATTCGTCGTGAAAAACGCGATATTCGCGATGATATGCAGTAGTCGTGAAATATCACTAAGGTGGTGAAACTCCATTGTGTATTATCACTCGCGGAAACATATACTTCCTAAAAACGTATTACTCTACTTCACGTTAAACAAACTATTATCAAGTATCAACAACCAACCTACTTCCAACACAATAGTCTCTCAACACCACCCTAGCAGCCGCATATTCATCCGGGACTCTGAAAAGCATGTGCATGCGTGCAAGTGAAAATTCCTCCAAAATTCCCCTACCCTAATTTTAAGAATTTCTTATATCGCAATGCATACGCCGACAGCAGCGCTCGAGCTCTTCCCAATTTTCTGTAGTTCAACGTGCAATACTCCGCACATTTATATTGCTCCAACAACCTGGCAAAAACAACCCTTATTTTCAAATCGATCAACTGGGCGCGCGCTACTCGTCCAGTCCAACTTTCTCAACAATCAGATCTATAGAAGGCCTGTAATCTCGTAGGTAATCGATTGGCACTGTACCTGATTTTCAACGATGGAGTTTCACCTCGGTTAGTATCAAAAAAAATACACATTCACATTTCACTTCGCGTAAAACATGTGGAATGTGCGGATTTGTTTTCACTTCACTTCATATCGCGAGTTTTCACATGGAGTTTAAAACTACAGTGTTGGAATAATATTTATATATGTTTGCTTTCCTCAGCTGAGCTCAGAAGAGTTTATATACAAATTAAAGGGTAGAAGTGTAAAGAAAAAACCAACAATAATTTCCTCTCAGAATTTTCATGTTAAATGATAAAAATTTTAAGAATAATAACAACAACAATAACAACAACAATAACAATAACAATAACAACAACAACAACAACAATAACAACAATAACAACAATAACAACAACAATAACAATAACAACCACACTGTAAGGAATCATGAATTCAAATGAATTGAATAAAAATCAAGTAAAAAAATCAAAAAATTAATTTCTGAAATTCATAAAATTCATAATAAAATAACAACTCCCCAAATTGAACCTATTCCGTATACTACCACTAATAACGAGATCCGCTTTACTCCTCACCGCCGTAGGGAACACCAGCCCTGGACAATCGCATAATTGTATTTTATTTCCACCACCAAAATCTTCCGTCACCTACAACACCATGTTGTAAAAAGCGCGCGCCCAAGTGATCGATTTATATTACCAACTCCAGAGTTTGCAAATGTTTAGTTTTCCCAGGTTGTCGCGACATAGATACTTTTTTAGCTCCCCAGAGAGCATTGATGACGGTACCTAATTGGGCATGAATTGAATCTTACGCGCGGGAACCTAAGATACGCTTGGTTCATAAAACAATCACTGAAAGCTGTCGAAAAATATTAATTTTTCATTATTGGAGTTTCACCCGGGAATATGAAAAAAATATTTCACACAATTCACTTCGTGTGAAACACATAATGTGGTTTTTACGTTAAACAAATCGCCAAGTATTTCATATCAAATATTACGGCACTGAGGGAGTCATCCAACTCTCAGAAATAACGTTCCTAAGATCGCCTCGAGACTAGGATCAGCGATTATAATGGGGAAAATGTTCCGAATGAGCGATTATAATGAGGGGAAAATCTCGAAAATTGGCGGAAAATATCTTCCTAGCCATTTTGAAGGTCCAAAATTCGTTTCCTCCGAAAACATATCAATTTTTCGATGACCCCCTGACGCCACTTCACGTAGAATTTTATTATTGGAGTTTCACCCGGGGATATGAAAAAAAATATTTCACACAATTCACTTCGTAGAAAACAATTGCGTTTTCAGTCGCAAAAATTCACATGGAGTAAATAATGAGATTACTATAAATACTATTTGCACCACTTCACGTAAAACGCGGCGTAAAACTTCGATAATATTATTATTACTTTTCCCCACATTCGGGAATCCGACCATGCCGATAGTCACTTTATCATCATATTCAGCAGCATATTTTTTCAGCAATTCCATCAGGCCTTCTACCGTGAGTACCTATAAAAAGTGAAAATTCTTTTATATTGCATTTTCACCACCCTAGTGATATTTCACGACTACTGCATATCACCGCGAATATCGCGTTTTTCACGCCACTTCACGTAAAACGGGTTGTCGTGAAACTCCATTGTATCGAAAATCAAAAAAATAAAATCATTTCCCATAACCGGAGACCACGATTAAATATTGTTGGAGTTTCACGAGCCGTGATATGACAAAAAAAACACTCGTGAAAAATAAATTTCAATTCATTGCGAATATCGCGTTATTTTCATGGAGTATTACGCCACTTCACGTAAAACCAGTGAAAAAATAATTCCCCAACCCGGAAAAATTTACCCATTTTATTACATCACTATCATCGTCATTAATTCCTTTCCCGAGAGCCGCTTTGCTATCAGCCGAAACAAGTTCTTCCGTACTATCCTAAATGATAAAAAAATTTCACAAATTTTTCTATTTTTAACATTTTTTACGGAAAATTCCACCTAAAGGAACTCGGGGAATTTTCGGGAAATATTTTTCTTGATTTTTCAATCAGATTTCATCCATGCAAAATATTGTCAACTTCATTTCCTCATTTTTCATAATATTCAATAATTTCAGCCAGTAGTAGTCTATTAGATTTTTTTCGCGCGCCACAAAATTATCTGGCATGAATTGGACCTAATCCGTATCTACCACCGCTGAACCTAAGATACCTCTTCAGCAACTTTCATGACTTTTGATAACTCCTGAAGTGCCGAGAAGAATTCAAGTCGGACTCCGGCGTGCTCCTCCTCGAAATATCTGAGGTTCCCCGTCGTAAGATTCAGATTAGGCCCGATTCAGTACTACTTTTTCCACCCATCACGAATTTCCTTTGGCACAAAATCACTTTTATTCATCAACACAACCGAAGACTTTTTCCTCCCCTGCGCCTTCGCAACTTCCTCAACATATCTGCATATGTAAAAAGCGCGCGCCCGATTGATCGATTTCAAACTTACTTCGTAAGGTCTTCACAATAGTAGAACAGCGGATCTCGAGCATCCAAAATTTGGAAAATAACATCGCTCCGCTCAACTGTTCGCCATAGTTGCCGCCAGAAATCCAAATTTTTCTCGAATGGAGTGAGAATATATCCTTGCTGTTCTTCATAGTCTGCAAGTGTCTGTGAAGAAAAAAAATAATAAATTTTCAAAAACAAATACGAGCAGCGGAAAAAACGTTGAATTTGCATTTTTTTTCCGTAAAAAAATATTTTTCAAATTCAGAATTTGTTCCCTTGTGACCGACGAAATTTAATTGTTTAAAACAACATAACTTTTGCAATTGAAGAGGAATCCAGAATTCAATAAAGTGTATATTTTCCCACGCTCCAAATCGATCACGTGATCGATTTCTCCCTACTTTTCTCCACGACAAGAAATTGTCCATTTCCATATCAGCTAATTTCTCCGCTGAAATTCCCGGGGTCCAAAATGGACGTCTTGGGATTCGAACCTGCGACCATCCGATTACCCCCTCCCAGTCGAGCGCTCTACCACTACATCAATATCGATCTGCGGCTTCTCATGCTCGGCAGCTTCCTCCCGAACCAACACGTGGCTGTCAACGTCGACTAGCTGAGCATATCTCTGAGTTTCGAATCTGAAAAAAATTTTTAATAACGAATTTTTCCCCGAAAAATCACAAAAAAATTTGGAAAAACACTAGATTGTTAAAAAAAGGAATTAAATCTACCGTCATTGCTACTGTCGGAAAAAAATTCCCAAATATTCACTTGAGAATTTTCCAACGAAAACTTCACTTATAAAATAAAAGAGAAAAATTATATACGTTTAATAAAAAAATAAAATTTTATACGAAAAATAAAAGAGAACATAGTCATCATCGAAAGCGTGGAAAAATATGCACATGGTCAACTACATTTGGGAAATTTTGGGAGGAAATTATTGTTGGTTTTTTCTGTACACTTCTACTCTATAATTTGTATATAAACTCCTCTGAGCTCAGCTGAGGAAAGCAAACATATATAAATATTTCACAAAATGTCTGTACATTTCTACCGAAAATTCCTAAACTGAGGTTGGGAAAGCAAACATATATTCCTCCTCCAAAATTGATCAAAAAAAACTTCGCTCCGCCTTACTCGCGATGCGATTCTTCTGCTAACTTCATAAATTCCTCCAAATCGTTACGTTCCAAAACGGAGCCTTCCATAGCTGAAAAGGAAAGCGTATCTTAGGTTCACCAATAAAAGATTCAAATGAGGTCCAAAAAAGGCTCAAATTGATCGCCTCCGATGGAGAATTAGTTCACAAAAAATACTCGAAAATATTAAAAGAAAAATTTGGGGAGAAAAATATAGAATAACTCGTTTTTTAACGTCGAAATAATCGTGAATTTTTATGCAACTCTACCACCTTCAATTCTTTTCAATAAATATCAAGAGCAAGCGAGAACGCTCTTCTAGGAAGAATAATTTACCGCAATTTTTTTCCGGAAAAAAGGCCCGTAAAATCATCACAAAGTAAATATGCAATATCGTGAAAATTTTGCAAAAATTGATAGAAAAAATCACAAATATTTTCCCACCAATAAAGATATCTAAGGTTGCCTCCTCAAAGATTCATTTCATGTCCGATTTAGTACCTGTCGATTTATTCCCACCAAATTCCGTCGTATGCAGCCCCACCTTGGAAGCCGTGGAATGCTGCATGCGTCTACGCTGAGTAGAGGCTATCAAGGCCCCCCCTGAAAAAAACGTATCTTTAGGTTGACCGCGGCACTCACAGATAAAAAGATTCCCCTACTACCCATGTTGTTCTTAGAACTCGGTTGTCCTTTCTTCTTACCCATTCTGAACTAAACAATTTTCTTCTCCTTCTTCACCAATCGTGACAAAAGCTAAATCGATCAGATGGGCGCGCGCGTAACTTTCGATTTTATTAAATTCGCTCTATTTTGGGAATTCCTCCCTGTCTCGTGAAAGTGTTCGCAACAGAGTATATCTGTGCGATGTCATATTAGATTTGGTATTATCCCCGAAATTTATAAACTTGCTCACAACAGTGATTGAGGAGGAATATATATTTGCTTTCCTCAGAAGAGTTTATGCACAAATTATAGGGTAGAAGTGTACAGAAACCACATGGTCATCAACTACATGTGTTGGTGGTGATGATGACAATATGTAAATGTGGGGGGAAAGGGATATGCACATGGTCATCAACTACATGTGTTGGTGATGATGATGACAATATGAAAATGTGGGGGGAAAGGGATATGCACATGGTCATCAACTACATGTGTTGGTGATGATGCTGACAATATGAAAATGTGGGGGGAAAGGGATATGCACATGGTCATCAACTACATGTGTTGGTGATGATGATGACAATATGAAAATGTGGGGGGAAAGGGATATGCACATGGTCATCAACTACATGTGTTGGTGATGATGCTGACAATATGAAAATTATTGTTGGTTTCTGTACACTTCTATCCAAATTCGTAAACTCCTGGAGGGAAAACATATATTCCTCCAACACTAATTTTGAAATTCCCAAATGAACACCCCAAAAGTGAAAATAAATTCCTCATTTCCGTCTAGGAAATCTGTACCCGGCGTTCTGGTAGTTTCTGAGATACGCTATAGTGTTACCGGGGGAACCTCACTTTTGGATTTTCTACATGGCTAGGAGCGCTTCAATCGATTTCCCATGTAAATGCCATCACATCGTCATCTAGTGTGGAAATATATATGATTAATTTCCTTACTAATTATAGGAATTCATATTCATCTTAGAGTAGCAATATACAGGAATCATTACGAATTTCCCCAGAGTTGTCATATTGTTATCATCACCAACTCATGCGGTGTGTTTTACCCCACTGTTGTTACCAAACCCTTACTTCGTGTCCCCAAAGGTTATTTACTTTCCTCTCATGTTACTACTACCATCTATAACTCAACACTTCAAAGCGGCCAACCACATCACAACATGGTACACAAATTATCAATTACTACTCAAATCACGACCTTACCTTTCCAACACCGTCACCGCTGCTGGCCTCATGCTCCTCGGGGACGTCCTCGCACAACGGGAAAAGAAGCTTACCACCGTCGAGGTGAAGTACGACCCGTATCGAACTCTCGCCATGGTCATCAGCACCGCCCTCGTAACTCTGCCGTACGTACCCTTTATGCGTTTCCTGGACAGAGTCTTCCCCAACACGTTCATAGGAGCTCTTCAAAAGAGTATACTTAACGCCTCCACGGCAGCAGTGGTGAGTAACTCGTGGATCGTATATACAAGTACTACTATGGACGCTCTCCTCAAGGGGGAAACTGTGGTCAATGCGAAACGGCTGGGGAAAACCGCGCTCGCCCAAAGGATTCTCGGCGTGGCCGGTAACAGTGCACGGTTTTGGGTGCCGGTGAATACGATGACCTTTTGGATGGTGCCGCCACATTTACGCTTGACGGTGAACAGCATGTGTGGATGCGTTTGGTCACGTATGTTGAGTAGACTCTGTAATGATGAAGTATCTTTAGGTTGACCATGTAAGATACAAAATAGGTCCAAATGGTACCGCCATATTTACGCTTGACGGTGAACAGCATCTGTGGATGCGTTCGGTCATGTATGTTGAGTAGACATTATAATGATGAAATATCTTTAGGTTGACCATGTAAGATACAAAATAGGTCCAAACGGATCGTCAATTGATCCCATCTTTAATACTGACAGGTCTTTCGCATCGCGCATTCCTCCCATTTTGTACTGACCAGTCCTCCATTCTTGCGTTCAGTCCGTTACGGAAAAAGCGCGCGCCCAACTAATCGATTTTATTCAACCTTACCAAGTCTTATAAAATCTTGCATTTCCTCCACGCCACTATGCGAAGGCTACGGCAAAGAGCCAAAAGTGAACTTTCTTTCTCTTTGGCTGAGAATTCAAATATTGCATCGTTTTAGTGTTAAACTGCATTATCAACATTTCCAGTATGTCAACTACCACACGTCGAAGTAAGCTCTCGTGTACGCGTATTGGAGGAGGAATATATACATTCGCCTTCTTCCTCAGCTGAGTCCTAGAAGTGTACAAAAACCAACAGAAAAAAAACTCCAGAAATTCCCCAAAAAATTTTCACTATATAAGGTATATATAAGGTTCACTATATATAGTAATTTACTATCAGTAAATCACTGGAGTTTCACCCGTTTTACGTGAAGTGGCGTCGTAAAACTCGTCGTGAAAAACGCGATATTCGCGGTGATATGCAGTAGTCGTGGAATATGTTTTTCATATCACTAGGGTGAAACTCCACTATATATATTTTCACATCATCCTTTCTCTTCCATTTTCAGCTGCGGAGGTGCTATTGATGATCGCACTGATAATCTTCACCTGCGGCGCCTGGTCGAACAACGGACCGGTGCTTCAGTGGCTGACAGTCCTCATCTTTTTCTTCTCAGTTTACATCACCGGTAAGTTTTTCGGAAAAAAAATTTTCCTGTAAAAATTTTTTTCCTCCTCAGATTTGGTATTTTTCCCGGTTGATAAGAACTTCATCCACGACCCTTTTTATTCCACATATTCGAAGCTCACAGATCCTCACTACGAGACCAACCCCTACAACTAGATAGTGAGAATCTTCCCTGTGCGTAAACTGGTATCTTTTTATCTTCTAGAATCTTCGCTGTGCGTAAAAACGTATCTTCTCCAAAATCTTCGCTGTGCGTAAAGTGGTATCTTCTCTAGAATCTTCGCTGTGCGTAAAGTGGTATCTTATCATCCTTTAGAATCTTCGCTGTGCGTAAAGTGGTATCTTTTCATCCTCTAGAATATTCGCTGTGCGTAAACTGGTATCTTTCCCCTCAAAAATCTTCGCTGTGCGTAAAAACGTATCTTCTCCAAAATCTTCGCTGTGCGTAAAAACGTATCTTCTCCAAAATCTTCGCTGTGCGTAAACTGGTATCTTTTCCTCCTTTAGAATCTTCGCTGTGCGTAAAGTGGTATCTTTCCTTACTCCTCTTAGGATCGTTCTCTCACATCAACCATAGAAGACGATGGAAGAGGAGGAGGCGGCTGTTTACTTGCGTGCGATTTTGTCGCGTAGTCGTGTACATTTCGGAGAGTGCCGATGTTGCGTTTTTATCACGTGAAGTGGCGGCGTAAAACTCGTCGTGAAAAACGCGATATTCGCGGTGATATGCAGTAGTCGTCAGGTGGTGAACCTGCAATGTCCCCTCGTCCTCTCCTTAGCCGTTACGAAGGCCGTCTCTGCGTAGTGACCGCCTCCACTGCTGGAATCGGCAAGGCTATCGCAACCAGAATGTTGCAAGAAGGTGGCAAAGTCATCGTAAGCTCAGCAATATGTGTTGGTGCCTGTATGAAATTCTGAGAAAATTTTGGGAAATTCTCCAGTGCAAAGCTCAGCTGAGGAAAGCGAACATATATTACAACACTGGTTTTGGAGGAGGAATATATGTTTACTTTTCCAACCTCAGTTTAGGAATTTGGGTAGAAGTGTACTGACATTTTGTGAAATATTTATATATGTTTGCTTTCCTCAGCTGAGCTCAGAAGAGTTTATATACAAATTATAGGGTAGAAGTGTACAGAAACCAACAATAATTTCCTCATAATTTTCCCATCGTTGAAAACTGTTTTTCCACAAAAATGCAATTTAGATATCATCAAGAAAACAAGCCTCAGTGGACGCAGCTCTCGCCGAGTTGAAGCCGGAGTTTGGAGAGCGCGTGAAAGGTACGATACACTACGTGTGAATTTGATATGCAAATGTGTGTTATTTTGTTGGATAAATTATAGTGAACAAATTGTCGCTATCATCACACTCCCAAACGGGTACTCTCATCACAACACATAGTTATTGTCACATTGGAGTTTCACCACCCTAGTGATATGAAAAACATATTTCACGACTACTGCATATCACCGCGAATATCGCGTTTTTCACGACGAGTTTTACGACGCCACTTCACGTAAAACGGGTAGTCGTGAAACTCCATTGTATATGCGATATAGTTTCAGATCGATTCTTATTAATCTCGGAAAATAACAAATATTTGCATATCAAATGAAGAGTGAGTCGCACATTCACAAGGGAGTTTTCCCAGGAGTGGTATGTAACGTTTCCAAGGCTGAAGACCGCGCCGCTCTACTCAACGCTGCAATCACTTTCGGAGATGGCATGATCGACGTTTTGGTAAGCTCACCGCGTACCGTGTTCAGTGAAATAGTATTCTCAACGACTTCAATTTTTTGACTTGTTTTTTTTTCATTTTTTTCAATTTTTTTTCAATCTCAAATTTGAGGAGTCTTAGATATGCATATTTCTTCGCTTCACACTGCACATTGAAGTTTCACCCGTTCTACGTGAGAAAAGCGATATTCACACTACGCAGCTGTCGTGAAATATGTTTTTCATATCACTAGAGTGAAACTCCATTATTTGAAAATCTATAATTCACAACTACAGCATCTCAACAGATGAAATTAATTTCCAATGAATTTTTAACATTCATAACAACATTAATTCTCAACGTGTGAACGCAAACGCAGTTTTTTCAGGTAAAATTAATTTTTTTACGAAAAATTTAAATTTTTTTACCTTTTTTGTTGACATTTCCCCCATGGTTTCAATAAGAAAATTGATGTTATACCCGATTTATTCGAAACTTCAATTCGAAGATAAAACAATTCCGCTGTAGTAGCTAAAATGAATTCCTAATTTCCTAGATAGAACTAATTTTTGTTGGTTTTTTGGTACAGACTTTTCCAAAAATTTCGCAGAATTTTCACCCTAGTGATATGAAAAAAATATATTTCACGACTGCTGTAAAACGGGTCATGAAACTCCAATATTATTACAAAATTATATTCACAATGAATAATAATAAAGATATATTTTCTACTATATTTTCTCCGTAGGTTTCTAATGCGGCTTCCAGCATCACCGTCGGTCCAACCGAAAATTGCAACGATCAACAGTGGGATAAAATGTTCGAAAACAACGTGAAGTCGGCGTGGCTGTTGACGAAGGAGTTCAAGAATCACATGAGGAAAGGCACCAGTGCAGTTCTCTTCGTGACGAGCATTGCTGCGTAAGGAGTGTTGGAGGAGGAATATATGTTTGCTTTCCTCAGCTGAGCTCAGAAGAGTTTATATACAAATTATCGGGTAGAAGTGTACAGAATTTTCATATTGTCATCATCATCACCAGCACATGTAGTTGATGACCATGTGCATATCCCTTTCCCCCCACATTTTCATATTGTCATCATCATCACCAACACATGTAGTTGATGACCATGTGCATATCCCTTTCCCCCCACATTTTCATATTGTCATCATCATCACCAACACATGTAGTTGATGACCATGTGCATATCCCTTTCCCCCCACATTTTCATATTGTCATCATCATCACCAACACATGTAGTTGATGGTGACCATGTGCATATCCCTTTCCCCCCACATTTTCATATTGTCATCATCATCACCAACACATGTAGTTGATGACCATGTGCATATCCCTTTCCCCCCACATTTTCATATTGTCATCATCATCACCAACACATGTAGTTGATGACCATGTGCATATCCCTTTCCCCCCACATTTTCATATTGTCATCATCACCAACACATGTAGTTGATGACCATGTGCATATCCCTTCCCCCCACATTTTCATTTTGTCATCATCACCAACACATGTGCATATTTCGCTGCGTGTTGACAATCGCTCTCACTGCGTTAACGCGAAACAAGCGGGATCATACCCCATACATACTAGGGCCAGTTGGTAGACATTCCAGAGTAGCATTACAATTTCCGTCATCATCAAATTTTCAGGTTTTCCCTAATGCCGCCTCTTGCTGTTTACGGTGTCACCAAAACTGCTCTCACTGGACTGATGAAAGCTCTAGCGCAAGAACTAGGTGAGATGAAACTACATGTTGCGAATTAATCGAGTTTCACCCTAGCGATATGAAAAATGGAATAATGTACAGTGTGAAGCGAAGAGTTATGCATATCTAAGACGCCCTAAAATTTGAGATTAATACGACTATAAACTACGAAACGCTTCTAAAACGATTCACATTGTTATCATGTTGATATCACAAAAAATTGAAGTCGTTGAAAATACTATTTCACATTCGCAGTAGTCGTGTTTTTCATATCACTAGGGTGTAACTCCATTGATAATGCAGGTCCTGAAGGCGTTCGAGTCAACGCTCTCGCCCCTGGAGTTGTCAGAACAAAGTGAGTAGAAAAATACAGTGCGTGTCAATTTGATATGTAAATGTTTGCCACCGAATTTTACGCCACTTCACGTAAAACTGATGAAACTCCTATGAAAACTCACAAGTACTAAAAACACTTTTTCCTTCTCAGATTCAGCGAGCTCCTATGGAAGAACGAAAACGCCAAAAATCTATGGACAAATCAGTCTATGTTACAGCGCATCGCAGAACCGGTGAGGATAATTTCCGAAAATTTTCAGACTTCTTTTCCCCTCAGGAGGAGATGGCTGGCCCTGCGGCATTCCTGTGCTCCTCAGACGCCTCCTATGTTACTGGAGAGACTCTTCTCGCGTCCGGTGGAGTCAGTTCCCGGTTGTGATTTTTTCATAAGTTTCATGTTAATCTTGAATGTGTTGAATTGAGTACACTGCAAGGAAATAGATCATCGGCTGAGTTTCACCCTAGTGATATGAAAAAGTAAATTTCACAATTAAACACGCGATGTGTTTTACGTGGAGAGAAAAGGAAAAAATAGTGACAATTCTGGGTCAAGAAAAGGAAAAAAATAGTGACAGTTCTGGGTCGAGAAAAGGAAAAAATAGTGACAATTCTGGGTCGAGAAAAGAAAAAAATAGTGATAGTTCTGGGTCGGCAAAGGTGAAGGTTCATTCCCCCTTACTCTCTTATTGTTGTCCAAAGATTAGCAGATACAAATTTACGTAACAGTAGGGCGACTCCAACAAGAATGGTCATCCAGAACTGTCACTATATTAGTGACAAGCCTAGTACAACTTATGGAGAAACAAGTTGGTGCGAAGAAATGTTTTTCATTCCAGCTTGAATGCAAATGGATTCCAATGAGAATCATGTAGTGATATTTTTATCAGTGAACGTATATCGCTCAGGAGAGGAACTATGCTACGATTATGGTGACTGTGTTGAGCGTTTTGTCACGCCAGTTGGGAGAGTAGGTAGATAAAGATGTTCAAACCGTTTAACGTGAAGTGGTGTAATACTCAATGTGGAAAACGCGATATAAAGTGAATTGAAAGACTTCGGAGTTGATCCAGAACTGTCACTATTTTTTTCTTTTACCGCCTTATACTGACTATTAACACAAAGCGATCCTTTCCAGTACACAATCGAATGCGAGGAACATTAAACTGTAGCCGTTCCGCTTGGGCGTTTGCTTCCTTCTTTCTTCTGATTATCCTAAAAATCCAATCGCGATGGTTAACAACAATTCACAAAAACTCACCCAAAACATTTGCGACACCGATTTTTCCTCGTAAATACGCAACATAACTTCCGCTAAAACTTGACCCAAAGAAAGGACCTGAAACTTTCCAAATAATAATCGATTGATTCACGAATTCTCTCACTCTTATTTTTTCGCTTTTCCGTGCGTGCTCAGGAAAAGGAAGCGAGTTGGTGATAACAACTTCAGTAACTCCTCGACGATTAATGCGTTCCATCGCTGCTGGTGACAACACGCCGTGAGTGGCGTACATGTAAATCCTAAATATCATCAACAATTTTATCAGCCCCTTCGGAAGTTTTTTTGGGGTAGGGTCTATCGCGGAAAAAATAGAACGAAATTTTGTGAAATTAAACTGAAAAGAAGGAAAATTATGAATAAAATACGAAAAAAATGTAAAAAATCTGCATTTATATTCGATTGTGGAATTACATCAATGACAGTGGTATCACTTGTTTCATTTAATATTGCTATATCAATAAGTTTGCGTTATTATATAAAACCATAAATCTGTGAGATCAGTCACCGAAGAAAAAGGCCTTTTAATACAGGTAGATATCAGTGTTGCAGAAATATATATTCATTTTCCTCTGCTGAGCTCAGGAGTTTACACTTCCCCCCAAAATTCCCATCTTGTGCATCATATTTTCCCATAAAAAAATCGCTCACCTTCGCGCGCCGTGTTGACGTAGATCCTTCACCGTTCGAGACATTCGTTTAGCGCTGTCGATGATGTCGTCAACAATGATACAGTCTCGGCCTTCAACTGAAAAGGGATTGTGCGTATCAGTGTTGGAGGTGGAATATATGTTTGCTTTCCTCAGCTGAGCTCAAAGGAGTTTATGTACAAATTATAGGGTAGAAGTGTACAGAAACCAACAATAATTTCCTCTCAGAATTTCCATACGAATATACACAATGGGCCTAATCCGTATCTTAGTCGCTTGAACCTAAGATTCCCTCACCATCGCCAACCAGCCAATCTTTCGTCACCAGACTCGCCAACGACTTCTTCCATCCAGACGGCATTATCACTTGCTGACAAAAATGTCAAACAATCACCATTTTCACAGCGGAGCGAAGCACATACTGTCCCATCTGCCGATAAATGTGGTTTTCCTGTTGTTGCTATTGGTACTTCTCCATCTTTACCAATAATGGTAACAGCTTCGTCGGGCGATCGCTCCGCGAGCTGCGCTTTTCCTGAACAAAAGTAAGATTTGCGTATATACATATATTCATCTAGAGTAGTACCTATTGGTGACCGACGATATGAAATTTTTGGGGAAAATTCGGGAAATTCTCGTTGGTTTCTGCACATTTTTACCCGAATCCTATACTCCTGAGTTCAGTTGCGAAAAGCGAACATATATTCCAACACCGGTTGGTACAAAGTCGGACCTATTCCGTATCTTACTATTATAAAGATACGCGTGTGTCTACTCATCGTCGCTTGCCTAAATAGTGTAGGAAATTCTATTCAGGAGCGACGTCTTAGACTTTCTTTCCAGTGCGGTAGAATATGCACATTTTCAACCACATATGTTGGTGCTAAAATGGAAATTCTGAGAAAATTTCGGGAAATACTCAACTACTTTTCACTCGGATTTGTATATGAACTTCTATAGTTAGTGAGGAAACTTCTAAGATCAGTTGAGGAAAGCAAACACATATATTCCTACGCTGCTTTATCTGTGTTGGAGAAATATATATTCGCTTCCCTCTAGCAAGGAATTTACATACAGAATTTGGGTAGAAGTGTACAGGAAATTTCCTCACAAATTCACAATCGTCACTACTTTTTTTTATGAAGTTTCCAAAGTGCCTCGCAAAGACGAAAAAATACAACAATTTATTCTTTAAAAATTAATACCAAAATCGCGTGAAATTAGCAATAAAAATTCTCTTTTACCCAACTTACGATTCGACACCATCGTTGCAAGCCCACAGTTGACACCATGATTCTGAAGTCTTCGCCAGAACAAGAACGCTCTGAAAAAAATAATAACAAGAAAACTTCGCTCCGCTAAGCTGATCTCACCTATCACTAGCAGTGCTATCAGGCGCAACAATAACAGGATTATGAAGATCTTTTCCAAGGAAGTATTTCAACGGCAACCCGAGAGGATCGATGTTCGTAACAGGGACGTCGAAACAGCTGAAATAAAAAATGCCTCTACCAGGGTTCGAACCGGGGACCTTCTGCTTACCCTTCCAAACTGCCCTCATGCAGATCCACTGTGACAATTCGATCGACTCCCATCGCTTCGTACATAAGTGCGATATCACTTGCAGCGAGCGGAGTTGCTGGTTGGGTCAGCGCCGGGTCTCCAGCTACGCCCTCAGACTCCATATGCCTGAGCTTAACATTGCCCCCCCCCCGTGGAATGAAAAATATTGGAGTTTCACCCGTTAATGTGAAGTGGAGTAATACTACATGCAAATTTTAGGAAGTATATGTTTTTCAATAGTTTTATGCGAAATCTATATTTTTTCATATCACTAGGGTGAAAGTAAAAAAGATATTTCACAATACACTTCGAGAAAGACAATTATACGATCGGTCGCAGAAACATATACTGGCTATACTCTACATGTAGTAGTCGCGTTAAACGGATGAAGCTCCAATAAAATACTCTGTTAATGGAGTTTCGCCCGTTTTACGTGAACGCGATATTCACACTACGCAGTAGTCGTGAAATGTGTTTTTCATATCACTAGGGTGAAAGTCCAAGGAAGCCATGTTTGAAATCTCTATAGAATATCAGTCTTGGAGAAGTATATGTTCGCTTTCCTCAGCTGAGCTCAGGAAATTTCCTCCCAATTTTCACACATAGTTGAACATTTTCCCTCCTCACCGAGTTACCCACCTAGCATATGCAAAGTAAGGGGTGACCAGCGTGATACTCCTAGCACTCGCTCTACGTAGCGCTGATATCTGTGATAAACATGAATATAAAGAAATGCTATTCTCGTAGCGTCTGTACCATCAGACAGGACTCCATAATAGCATCGTGTAAACATTTACTTCGAGAAACTCCGCTTTTTTTACTAATAGGGAATTGCTGAGTATAGAAAACAACAACAAGGAGTATCCGAGCGGACCTATTCCGTATCTTTATCGACCAACCTGTATGATATAGCAATCCTGGCCACGCACTTCATCCAGTATCTTCACTATAACTTCACCATCAGCAAATCTATAACAAATCGATACCACTCCATTTTCAATTCGACTCTCACTCAAGGAGTCATCCAGCTCTCAGAAATAACGTTCCCAATAAACGTCCCCCAATCCCGCCGAGAATGGGTAAAATGTTCCGAATGAGCGATTATAATGGGGAAAATGTTCCGAATGAGCGATTATAATGGGGAAAAAGTTCCGAATGAGCGATTATAATGGGGAAAAAGTTCCGAATGAGCGATTATAATGGGGAAATTCTCGAAAGTTAGCCGAAAAGATATTACTAGCCATTTTGAAAGTCCAAAATTCGTTTCCTCCGAAAACATTTTCAAGTTCCTCGATGACCCCCTGCTCTCACTTCCCGGTATACGCCCTTCCTTTGGTGGTACTCAAATTCGCACAAATCTCCGAGGCTAGTTGTTCCGAATCAGAGCAAGCGAAGACTTTCATATCTGATTAAAAAACCGTTAAATCGCTCTTGCCGATGGAGTTTCACGCCTTTTACGAAACGCGATATCATTCGCGGTGATATTTTTCACTAGGGTGGTGAAACTCCAATAATTATTCTCACATTTATGCTTCCCAGGATCCACATAATACTCCTCCGTTTCCTCCGACTCAGGCTCATCGTCCATCGCTGATCGCAACGGTTGCTCCTGTGGTCGCGGCGGACCTAAAAAGGACCCCGGTTCAATCCCTGGTTACCGCACTTTTTACCGCTCTCATTATCAGCAGTAGCACTAGCATCTTCATCTGCCGCTGGGGACGGTGTGATTAGTGAAGAGAAGTCACCTAAGATTCACAAATCTTGCAATCTTGCAATTCCTCAACGCTCCCACCCAGCCCAGGGATGTAATTCGACGACTTGTTTTTCTCCTCGAGCAAAGCCACACCCATTGGTGTCACCAACAACCCCAACGCTGTCACCACTCCGAACAGACCTGGCAAAAACATCGTGAGCGAACGAAACGTATCAGGAAAATTCCGAGAAAATTTCATTTCCAGACTCCTTGTTAAAGTATATGTTCGCCCTCTCTAGGAATTTTTATACGAATTTGAAAAGAGCTGTACAGAACCCAAAAGTAATTTCCGTACTATCACCAACACATACGCGAAATTTCCCCCACTGACCATAGCAGTGCGGGAATATATGCACATAATCAACTACATGTGTTGCTAGTGGAGATTTTGAGAAAATTTTGCGAAATTATCGTTGATTTTTGTATACTTATACCCAAAATCGTGTAATTTTTCATAATAAAGTGAAGAAACCTAGTAGCTCAGTTGAGGAAACCAAACATATATTCCTGTACTAGACCAGAGTACTTCAAACATAACTCGATCGCTGTTAATCGCGGGATCAGAATATCCTGACGCGAACCACCGCATTTGCAGTAGCTTTCGAAATCCCCCGAAGTTAAACTCAATTTCACATTGGGAACTCCATGTTAAAGAATCTAATATCTCGCATATGGCAGTCCGCCCTCATAAGCGTTCGTTTGCCTCACAGTGACATCAATGCACTGTGCAGTTTATGACGGGATCACAATTTTCACGCCATACCAGACAACCACCACAGATATGAGTATTCATCATACGTTCCGTTTGAGGAAACTATCAGTTCGCAGTAATACTAACTTTAGAACTTCGAAAGGAATCTTCTGAGAACCAGCCAAGTCCACCCAAGCTGGGCTTCTCAGCCCAAACATAAGGACTAATACAGCCTTTGCTGCTTATGCGTTACCGAGGCTCCGTTGCAGCTAAATCACGGCTTTATTCTCATTTATTAATCTCCACCACAATAATAGAGCAACTGAAGCTTCTCCACAAGTTCAGCGCCTTCCAACCCCACCTGCCCGCTGAAGTTTCGAGCGCGAACCCTCATTTTACTCTGACCGTAGAATGATGTTTTGTCAAGCATAACGGCCCAACGCCCAAATTTTCAATTCCATCTCTTAATCTGGTGCTGATGAAAGTATCGCTTTCGACCAGTTCGAGTGCTGTGTATTTGAATCGGCAGTGTTAGAACTTGAACGCGAGCCCATCTAGAAACAGGCCATGTTATCGGTCACGACTCGTCAGAAATCACGGGATGAAATTGGATCCTTGTTACTCCATTCAAGCTCGCTCTCGCATATGATCATTGAATAGCAACACGAGATCGATCAGATGCTGGTAGTCTGCAGTGTGAGGTTTCTCGCGAGGAGTCACCCTACGTTAACTTCTAACTACCACATTAACACCCTTGGCTCCATCAAGCATGCGGCAAAATCAACTATGCTAACTTCTTCTGTCGCTCGATATTCTCGATATCGTCTGCGCCATGTCCCGCATGGTCATCACAACCATCACTACAGCTTCTGGCCCTGGCTGGCTCCGTACTGAAAGTGCCGTGCGAATCGCCAGAATCCACAGAAGCACATAAAAGTTGTGGGAGTTCTGATGGAGAGGCTCAAAACCATGAGTTAGCGTTGGAGGGACCCTAAAACTGCTTTGACATAGCACTGCCGTATTTAGGAGTTGATTTTGATTCATAGATGCAGCCAATGAATGCCATAAGTAAAAGTTTTACGTATGGCATTTATACAGTAAAACATATTCGACGAAATTTTTCCGTCGATAAATACACCAACCAGGAAATCAGAAAAACTGATGAAACTCCCCCACCGCGAAAAAGATAGTGAATACAGCAATCACCAGTATTCAAACTGTACAGCAATACAGTACCAGAACACTCATCTCACCTGTGCCAGCTTTGGCGAATCTCTCCTTCCCAGCCAAACGCTTCCATAATGCCACACTACTCCCGGCTCTCGGAGTGAGCCGAGTCGCTGTGACCGAAGCCATCACCCTCGTCATCCATGGCAACATTTTCGACCAATTATTCTATTCACCAGGACGGTGCCGAGTGAGATAAGGTAAACCTGAACTCTGAAAAAGTCCAGCAAGATTACATTCATTTTCTCTACTACAACGCGGAACTTTTCACTGTGAAACTCTTCATAAGTAAAATACTTAAATCATGCGTGGTTTCCCACAAGGTTCCGATGCATACCACCTCCAAGTTGAAAGTTGAACCGCCACGATTAACCTCCCATGATCAACTGCATGAAGAAAAAAAGTTCATAAAATACATCAATCCCGACCTTCTTACACATAAAAGAATCGCAATAACCCCCCTCCCCAACAAAACACATCACTTCAAGATAAAACAATCCATGTATGAGAAAACCCGTCCAGCAACACTCTCCCACGCCCGTTCGTTTTCCGAGCAAAATTATTTTCCTCCCACAACATCAGCGATTCCTCTCAAAATATTTTCCCTCCACGCCGAATTGAGCAGAGCTTCGCCGTGTATACCATCGTCATTCCAATCAACTCTCATTGGTTGGAATAAATCCTCATGCCCCTTTTTCCTAAGCGTAGAATAATTTCGCGGCGGGCGACAATTACGGGGGGAATTTTTTTCCTCACAAATTCCTCGACTGCTCGTGTAGTCGTGATTTCTTCAATTGATCCTCTCGAGTAATCGCCAGACGCGCCGCCCTAAAAAGCCTATATTCACCACCCCAACCTAATCCGTATCTTCCACACAGCAACCTAAGATACTCACGATTCAGCCTCCAACAACCTCCTTATCGAGTGAGCTGGTACTATGAAATCTTTGCCGCACAACGACACGTGCGTGGGGACATTCCGCAGTTCTTCGGGCCAGACGTTATTCTGATACAAAAACCATCAAATTGCTCCAATATTAACAATGTGGGGGGAATATGCACATGGTCATCAACTACATGTGTTGGTGATGATGATGACAATATGAAAATGTGGGGGGAAAATAATATGCACATGGTCATCAACTACATGTGTTGGTGATGATGACAATATGAAAATGTGGGGGGAAAATAGTATGCACATGATCATCAACTACATGTGTTGGTGATGATGATGACAATATGAAAATGTGGGGGGAAAGGGATATGCATATGGTCATCAAGTACATGTGTTGGTGATGATGATGACAATATGAAAATGTGGGGGGAAAGGGATATGCACATGGTCATCAACTACATGTGTTGGTGATGATGATGACAATATGAAAATTCTCGTTGGTTTCTGTACACTTCTACCCTATAATTCGTATCTAAACTCCTCTGAGCTCAGCAGAGGCAAGCAAACATATATTCCTCCTCCAACACTAATTATCAATAACTTCCTCACCTGTTCCCAAAAGAAATTCCTCGTCAATGTATGTGCCGTATACAACTCCCTGAAGACCAGATAAGTAGCCAATATCCCGATCGGATCTTCATGGACCTAAAAACGCTGAGGTCTACCCACCCAGGTTCGATCCCCGCGGCCGTCACTTTTCTCTGCGTATTCAACAACAAGTCGTTCTTCACTAACAGGAAGCATACCGGGTCCATCAAACTCAAAGAGGCGATCCTGTTGAGTTCATGCGTCTGAATACAAAATCTTGCAATCTTGCATTTCCTCAACGCTACCGCTACTACTACCAACATCCATCTCACCACGAATGTTCCAAAGCTGTGGCCAATCTAAAATGAAAATATGCATATGGTCAATCACATGAGTTGGCGATAACAATATGACAAAATTCTGAGGATTTTTTTGGCAAATTCCACCCCCGAATTTACATGTAAACTCTCGGGAGAGGGTAAACATATATTCCACCAACACTAGCATAGATTCGAACCCGCGCGGGAAAAGGGCTATGACCATGTGAGCACGGGAGTATCCCCACGCCGTCAGCATGTCCGCCACAACCACGCACATTTCGCGAGCCGAGGGAAGGTTGGGATATGGCCGCATTGCTACCTTGAAAAGTTGAAAAAATATCAATTTTCCCGGAAAATTTTCAACAATTTACTCCCAAAATAATGTCTAGCACACACGAAAGACAATTTACATAATTTTCCGGAAAAAAAAAATAAAATCATCGCAAAATTTTAATACTTAACGTTAATTTTCCCGAAAACTTCTGAACAATTTCTTCCCATATTAGAGCGTCCAGCACTCTACTTTTCCGCCAAAAATTACAGAAAATTTTCGGGAAATTTTCATATTTCTCAACTACATGAGGAAGTTCTATGCAAAAGAGGTCTCTATCCGGAAATGCCCTCCTGAGATCGCGCACGAACGGAATGTACGGCAGAAGGCCAACACCCAGGCCATGACAGAATCTAAGGAAAAAAAGATTCAAAGCAGGTCCGGTATGAGCCCATAATTTCCGGGAAAAATTGATGACCGAAAAAATATTTTGGGCTTGAAGTTTTTCATTTTTTTCGTAAAAAATGAAATTTCGAAATTTTCCAAGCTCGAAAATTTAAATTGATATTTTAAAAGCTGTCTTCTACCTCCCCCATTTTTTCGCATATCCTAAAACCACTTGTCCGAATAATTGTGTGAAAATTTCCGGAAATTTTTCACAATTTTTCCGTAAAAAATACCAAAATTTTCCACTTACACGATGGGCTCCATCATCATTTCCTCTTCAATGGCAGCGCGTGAATGCCAATATTCCAAAGTTCCCGAACGATATTTCCTACAACAAATATGTCACAAAAATTCACTTGAAAAATGCTGTTGCATCATTTTCCCGTAGCACACAATGTGTCTCCCTCTGGTGAAAGAATTACTAAGCATCTAAATCGGCTTAGTGCGCTCAACCAGGAACATATAATATTACCGGGGAAAATTTCTCATTTTCCCACACTTCAATGAGTTTTGTATATGTCGTCACATTAGGAACATTTTCCCGATTGTTATCAAATCCTACGTGAATCCGACAAGCTTTTCCAATACAATGTCAGTGACAATTGGTAATACAAAATGCGTAACGCCATAGCAGAGGAAAGGACGGTATCTGTAGAGAAAAAACAGGCTCGAAAATTTCCAGTGCGTAAAAGTCTCAACTATACTGAATTCATTTCGAAAAATTATGAAAAAATGTTAAATTTCACGTAAAAAAAACTCAATCATCCTAATTTATATCACCAAAAATCAGCACATTTCCCTTCTTACAAAGCTGGTATAGGGTCGTTCATTATTCGCATGCACTTCACATCCTCATTTCTACCATCTGAGTGTGAAAAAAATAAAATTTTAGTGACGTAATACACCATAAAAAGTGAATTAAAATCACTTGACGAACTACACCCAAATTTCACGTAAAACACATCACGTGTTTTACGCGTTATTCGCGAAGTGGAATATATTTTTCATATCCAATGATGAAAACATTCAAAACCTGCCCAAAATAATACCATACTTCGTATCAAAATCATTCGGAAAAAAATTTTTCAAGAAAAATTTTTTCCCTCTCACCTTGCAATTGATCCGAAATATGCGCCCATTCTGCCAAGTAATCGACCATAACCTGAAAATTTCAAATTCAACACATCTGAAAATTTCACATTTCCCAAGACTACTCTCAATTCTTCTTTTTCCACTACTGATAACTCGCTCACCTAAAAAGGATCAAATCATGATGCTGATCGGAAACAGTTCAATGCAGTGTGAAGCAAACAGTTATGCATACTTACATTTTACGAATGTAAACGAAAAAATTGGTAAAAAATACCATTACCAGGAAATGCTGTAGTTATGAATTTTGGATATCAAAATAATCGAGTTCCACGACTACCCGTTTTACGCGAACTTGGTGAAAAACGCGATATTCGCGGTGATATGCAGCAATCATGAAATATGTTTTTCACCAGTGTTTTTCATATCACTGGGTGGTGAAACTCCACTGCATACTGCCGACCAAACAGTGTTGAGAATTATTGTTTTATCAATCCAGTTCCACCCTAGTGATATGAAAAACACTAGTGAAAACCATATTTCACAAACCACTGAATAGCGCGAATATTGGAGTTTTTCACATAGTATTACGCCACTTCGCGTAAAACGGGTCGTGAAATTCCAATGAACAATTTTCGCCTCCCAAAAATTTTTTCTCACCTGCCGATATTCAAAGAAATATTCAGCGACCCACTCATCGAGATTTCCGCGTTGGAGACTGTCAACTGATGCCCCGTAATACCAACTGAAATTACAAAGTAGCAAACTCAAAGGGTCTCAACCCACCTCGATATCTCCGCCCTAAGAAGAGCTCTCACTTTCACTGCATACATATCGTCTTCTTCTGTGAATAAACCAGAACCTATTACTACTACTACTACTACTACTACTACTACTACTACTACTACTACTACTACTACTACTACTACTACTACAACAACTACTACAAAAATAAGATTTACTCCGTCGAAACTTTCTTGGAAGTATCACTCTGTTGAGTCACGCTGAATACTATAACGAGGTGAGATGCCGAAATCTTTAACTGTCGCTTGTCTCCGTGCGAAAGCTCAAGACTGCGACAATCAATGGTTGATTTCCTTCTACTGACCAACGAGTTGGCCATGTCTCAGCTTCTGTTGGCGTGAAAAGTTAAAATCAAAATATCCGTATATTATTACTCTACGGTTTAATCTATCGAATAATACAAAAAAATAGCATCGGAAATTTAATCCCAAAAGAAACAATTTTTATTTTTCGACATAGCTCGAATTTTCGATATGAAAATATATGAAATGTGTGAAACCACGAAACTAGTTCCCCATTATGAAATATGAAAAAAAAATTGTATACCGTACCACTCCAGCGAAGATTTCCCGACAGAACTCACGCTGTCTTACTAGGCTGCCGTAATATACCAACGCCTTCATCATGTGTTTTCTCCCAATCTCGAACCAACTGTTCACACGTAAAGTCCGCCTTCGAGCTCACCATCGCCAGCCGTCTGCGTCTGCTACTAGGGGGACTCCACGTACCTGGCAAGGCGCTTGTGCGACGTACAACACCTCAAAATTTCCGTGATGAAAATTTCATCAAGAAAATTTTAAAGTGAAGTCTCATGTGAATTTCATCATGAAATGATTTTTGCGTCGAATTTTCAATCCCGACATCCAAACGAAACGACGCCAATTTATAAGTACCCCATGAAAAACCATTCCGGCACTTGAAAAGTGCCACTTCCTCACATAACAACATAGTTAGTAATCTTACATTACTATAACTGAATCACGGTGACACACTGTGGTGACACTATCACCCCATTGAACTTGCCGTTGTCAACCTCCATCGTCGTCATCGAATCAGCTTCTTACACTCAAATCAGCAGTTCCCCTCAGAGCACTAGCCAACACAGACACACCGTCCGCCTCTGCTAACTTCCGCAGATCCAATACCAAACTGTGTGCGAAGCAACCGTCTTTCCTCGAGAACATCCATAACTAACGCGTTCTTCTCTGAGAGATGGTCAGTCAACTGCTAGGAATCGATCATCAGTTTTAAAGTTGAAATACGGAAATTCTCCCGCGCTCTCATCTGCGTTATGCCAGGTTTGTACCAGCTGCGAACCAAACACCCTCCCTCCTTGTCGACCAACTTGATGATGTTGCGTACACCTTTAGTTGAACATATCCAATAGTTGAATATTCGATGAATACCAAACCCCGCAGGCCTCAAGTTGAACATACCTCTCCAGATTCATTGTATCAAAAACTATCGGTGAGATGCTCACGCGGATCAGCGCATTTGACATAATTGTCCTTCGCTGATGTGAGCATCAAGTGCGAAAATCATCCTCCATCGGAAAACACACCTGTAGTATTTAGTTTTCCAGTGCACATAATCTACATATACCGCTTCGAACAACCCCACAATGCAGTCCCTCCTCGAAGCCTATCTACCATTCAATCCACATTATTCAATTGTGTATCGTTTCAACCTGTGATTCACAGAGATGCTCAGTGAGCACTGTCACCACAACCAGCAACTGACCAAGACGGCCCAACCAGAGCCGCCTCTGCCAGTACCATCTCTCTCTCTCTCTCTCGCTCGCAGCCGCCATACGGCCAGGCGACTCCAAAACCACCATGAAGATAATGTTGGAGTTTATGGATTCCAAGTAGGGCGAACCAGACCACCGAAGGAAGGCCGATGTGGCCATATATGACTCATATAATATGATACGGCTCTTCATTAATCGTACTAGCAGTACATACCAAAATACAAACCATGCAGAATACTACAGCGTGGGAGTCGCCTCCTCTGTTTTTCCTTTTTTTCCTTTTTTTTCTTTTTTTTCGATAGTACTAGCTTGTATGAGAGCTACTTACAGTACTTCTAATACAAGCATACTAGCAGTAACTTCACTTCATAATACCCCATTCGAAGTCTTCATGGTAACGTGTTGAGAATCCATAGAGCTGCGAAGTCCCCGCCGAAACTCTCTGTGAGAGCAACAGCCATCTGTTCACATAGAGACTATCATAAAGCCACTCTACAGGAAGAAGATCTTCCCTTCACCGAATTTCATCCCGAAACCAGGAGCGCCCAAAAAACTATTACAAACATCCAACAGCGACTGAGCCTCGCGATTTAGATTTTCATGAATATCCCGAGAGCTGCTGAGCTGGTAGGACTGCGAAGCGCACTGAAAAAAAAAATTCTAATTTCGTCACTCCAACAACACCGTTAATTCCTATCACAAATTTCGTTGCTCGTAACGTGACAAAAATTTCAGAATTTCAGAAGAAAAAAAAAATTCCGAAATAATGACCATTAAAATCTATCGCTAATCCTCGTGCGTCTCCTACCAAGTCATCAGCCAAAGAAACCCAATAAGTCTGCGTTTTATCAATCGCGGATTTTCCCCCTCCTCACTACCCGTTCTAACATAGGCTGTGATGCATTATGATGCGGATTCACCGCTACGTGAACCTGAAAAAACTTTTTCGCAAAATTCATACGTACTTAAACTTATTGAGATTTCACGTCAATGACAACCCTTATAGGATTCAATACTTATAGTAATTCCTTTGCCAACAACAACAATCTCTCAAATAAAGGGAGCGTTTTCTTGAGACTAAATTCTACTTTTCGTTAGAGCAAACCTCTTAAAGTGATAATATACAGTTCACTAAGCGAAAGCTTACATGTATTTCATGCAACCCTCTGAGACACCTTTTGAGTCTATCCATCCTAGAAGAACAGCACTGAGGTGCTCCTCCACACGGTGGTGGAAGATGCGCCTAAAAATATTCTCATACCACTCCTTCGTTAACTCTTCTCCATCACTTTTCGATTCAATTGACGATACTTCCACAAATAAATAAAGTAAAAATACATTTCCAGTGTTAACCAGAACCGCATAAAATGACGACCATAAACACCTAAAATACAGTGCATGGCTATTTGATATGCAAATGTAAAAATTTTTTTCCGGAATTAATGATAATCGATATGAAACTATATCGCATAATTGGAGTTTCATCAGTGATATGAAAAAACACTAGTGGATATTTCACGACTACCGCATATCACCGCGAATATCGCGTTTTTCACCGAGTTTTACGCCGCCACTTCACGTAAAACGGGTAATCGTGAAACTCCATTACATGTGATAAAACTAGTAGGTTGTTCGCTATCATTAAAATGCATTTTCTACATTTTCATTGGCACACACTTCCTGATGAATTCGAGTTTCCATTTTAATGCAGATGTGTGGTATTTTCCGAGATTGATGACAATCGGTCTGAAACTATATCGCATAATCAATGTAAACAGCTCTATGAACATGTGATGTGATAAAATTTCATCAGAAATTTCGGAAATTCAACAGAAATAGAACTCACAAAACTCAGTGATCGCATTAACACTATCTTAACCATTTCAAAACCAAACTAGTGAAAACTGGTCTACATTTAGAGCCTAAAATTGGTTTATGATTTTATTAATTTTATCTGGAATTTCACTAATTTCGAAATGATGCACAATAATTAATTCTAATCAAACTGAGAAAATATATATTCCAACTCACGAGCAAGCTCCCCCAGACTTTCAATATGACCATTTCGTATCTTTGATCGCCACCTGAAAAGAAAATCAACAATTTTTCAGCGATGAATAAAACGGCAACATTACCGAAGCCACGTGAGGATCCAAACCGCTGGAAGGACCGCGCGGAGCGGCGCTACTATCAACCATCGAGAAGTGAATTTTCTCCCTTTTTCTGTGCCTGAAATGTCCATTTACCAGAATTGGCGCTTCTAAAAAATGAGTAGAATTGAATATTATGAAAATTCTCATCTCAACAACGTATAGTGGAGTTTGTGGTAATGTGGGGGGAAAGGGATATGCACATGGTCACCATCAACTACATGTGTTGGTGATGATGATGACAATATGAAAATGTGGGGGGAAAGGGATATGCACATGGTCACCATCAACTACATGTGTTGGTGATGATGATGACAATATGAAAATGTGGGGGGAAAGGGATATGCACATGGTCATCAACTACATGTGTTGGTGATGATGATGACAATATGAAAATGTGGGGGGAAAGGGATATGCACATGGTCATCAACTACATGTGTTGGTGATGATGATGACAATATGAAAATGTGGGGGGAAAGGGATATGCACATGGTCATCAACTACATGTGTTGGTGATGATGATGACAATATGAAAATGTGGGGGGAAAGGGATATGCACATGGTCATCAACTACATGTGTTGGTGATGATGACAATATGAAAATGTGGGGGGAAAGGGATATGCACATGGTCATCAACTACATGTGTTGGTGATGATGATGACAATATGAAAATGTGGGGGGAAAGGGATATGCACATGGTCATCAACTACATGTGTTGGTGATGATGATGACAATATGAAAATTCCGAGGAAATTATTGTTAATTTCTGAACATTCCAACCCTTATTCGTATAATAATTTCTACAGTTACCGAGGAAAGTCCTGAGCTCAGCTGAGGAAAGCCAACCTATACTCCTAGATGGATTTCCCTCTGACTTTTACGAAAGATCCCAACCAACATTGATAGAAACAAAATTTTTTATCCAGTTCGTGTCAATTTGATATGCAAATATTTGTTATTTTCCAAGATTAATAAGAATCGATCTGAAACTATATCGCACGTACAATGGAGTTTCACGACTACTCGTTTTACGTGAAGTGGCGTCGTAAAACTCGGTGAAAAACGCGATATTCGCGGTGATATGCAGTAGTCGTGAAATATGTTTTTCATATCACTAGGGTGGTGAAACTCCCATGTAACAATAACTATGTGTTGTGATGAGAGTACCCGTTTGGGAGTGTGATGATGGCGACAACTTGTTCACTATAATTTACCCGACAAAATAACACACATTTGCATATCAAATTCACACGTAGTGTATCGTACATATTTCATCGAGCTCACAGGAGTGGGGGGAATAATTTCGACGCGAAATTTTTCCAATTTTTAACAACCCCGCGAGTAGTTAAATGAACCGATCGTTGAATATTTCAAAAATCACCGATTAGTTCCCATAAAAGTTATTACCTCCCAGAACCAGCGCTGATACCACTCCAACCGCAACTCGCGCCAAATTAGATGATGTGACACTCAAGAGCTCACCTGAGAATAGCACAACTCCCCCTCCTATTCCTCTTCGTAGAGTACCAATACAACGCCGATGCAAATTGCTAATTTTTATACATAAATTCGTCACACTGGAGTTTCACCACCCTAGTGATATGAAAAACATATTCCACGACTACTGCATATCACCGCGAATATAGCTGCGTTTTTCACCGAGTTTAACGACGCCACTTCACGTAAAACGGGTAAAACTCCAGTGATTAGTGAATATATGTCTATTTCAGCGCTTCGCAAAAATCATACTTTCTAGTAATAATCCAGCAAGCGTCAAAAAATCCTCAAATTTTACAGAATTTTGAAATTTTCAATGTCGTTTGCTGTTTGTTTTGAGTCCGACGAAAATGAAGTTGTTTGCAATTTTATAATTTCCTAATTTACAATTTAATTTCTAATTTTTTAATTTCCTAATTTTCCTAACATACCTCTGGAGAGTCGCAGATGGTGCATTTTGATGAACTCCATGGTGAACTAGGAGCAAAACTACAACAACAGAAAATAGTGACACTTCTGGGTGAACGAATTTCGAAGGCGTTTTATAAGATTGCAGAGAAATCACACGCGATAAAATTACACGTTTTACGCGATACGGTGTAATTCTCCCACTGTTTTACATCCACTTCACATCGCGAATTTTCACCCCACGTAAAACGGGTGAAATTCCAATATTCAATAGCAAACATACGAAATATATGCAAATTCCTTTCTCACTAGCGTGATTCAGAAACTCAAAAATAATTCCGGAAAAACCGCATTATTTCACCCGTAGAAAATGTCCACAGTGGGAATTTCACCAGAGTTAACTTCCCTTGAAAGTTAATTCTCAGCAGTATTGATCACAACTCCTAATTAAAATCCAGAATAATCTCACTGAACACGTAGACAACCATAGAGCCATACGAATCGCAATCTCATCGCAAAATCGATTATAATGGCTCGCGCTTTTTACATTTCCGCACGCGCAAGATTTCTTCTCATTGTTGATGATATGACAGAGTTTGGTAGCTTTCGTAGCCTTCATCCCATGTCCAAGTGGTCCCTTCTGGTTCGCTCTCGCTTCCCTTTCAATAAGGCTGTCAGTGGAGTGCCATTAGGCGTTGCTCCAGGTGGGGTATCTTAGGTTCAAGCGAGTAAGATTCAAATCATGCCCAATTTCAGCCCGTTGTGCCAGCAACGTTGCCGCCACTGCTCATGTTCATACCAACTACTATGAAAGGGTGACTCGGTTCCTTCCCCTCCTCACCATCTTGGTAACGTCTTAGGTTGCCGAAGTGAACGTCCAAGCCGTGCCAAGGGGGCGCCATAATCACAGAGTTTACAACTTCTCCGCTGGCCCGGCCGGCCTCCCCGATGAGGTGAGCAACTTCGTGTGACCAGTGCTGGAATGGTCTAGTTGGTTATGACGACTGTCTAACATGCAGGAGGTCTCGAGTTCGATTCTCGGTATCGGTATCGTAAAATTTGGTATATGTAATTTCCCGATAGATCACTTGTGGTAGAATTCTCGAGATGATCATGTGAGCTCGTTGTTGGAATATACGTTTAGTTTTCTGAGTAGATATTTTCAAATTCTAATGTGGTTCATTTGCAAAATATTTCTCACTTTTTTTCGAAAATTCTTTCTCCCATAAACTCACGCTGTGTGGAGTATTGGAGGAATATACGTTCGCTTTCCTCAGCTGAGCTCAGAAGTTTACATACGACCAGCGATAGTAGAAGTGTACAGAATTTCCATATTGTCACTAAAGAAAATATTTTATTAATAATTACAAATAATTAAGTAATAACAATACAATAATACGTTAATACTATGTTAGTGGTTTGAGCCTCCTCAACTCCCCTAACCGTAGATTCAGTATTACCAACCATAAGACTTTGAAAATGGTAAAGGAAAATATAATCTTAACTCTCGTATATCCTAACCCCAGGCTATACTAGCTCAGCGCGGATCTACCGCGCTAACTCTTTGTGTACTGCTGTCCCAGGGACTCTGTTCCCCTACACTACGATTGTTTCCTGCGAAGTGAATTGTGGAACATATTACGCACTAGTGATTATCATATCACTAGGGTGAAACTCCAATGTAGAACTCGTTGTCAGGTTATGTATGAGGCTCAGCGAGATTTCGTCAACTACGATGGAACCGGGATGGGGTTCATGGAGCTATCTCATCGCGATGTTGATGGTCCTTTTCAAACAGTGGGTATACCCTTTTCAAGTCGCTTGCTAGATGTATGATCATAATTATACAAATTTTTATCATGTAAGAACATTGATATCAAGTATGTAATACTATGGAGTTTCACAATCCTAGTGATATGAAAAACATATTTCACGACTACTGCATATCACCGCGAATATCGCGTTTTTCACGCCACTTCACGTAAAACGGGTAGTCGTGAAAGTCCAATATTATTTTATTAGCATTATTATCAACCTTTTATAGATATTAAATATTATAATTATAACTCTTTTTCCGTTCGGTTGAAGTTTGAAATTGATTCTTTTTGCTAAAGATGTGCGGAAATGTCAATTTATTTTCCTCGTTATTTCGCATTTGCAGTGGTGAAATTCCCCGCTATAGGCAGTACCGTGATAGCATGTGCTTTTCCGTTTGGTAGCGGCGAAATTGAAGTTTTTTTATTTGTTGTTTTTATTCCCTCGTGTTTATTATGACTTACTATTCGGTGATGATAACGCTGTTTATCGTAGGTACTCGCCCAAGCTGAAGAACGCCTTCGTGACATGTTGCATATTCCAACTAACTATAAGGTATTCGTTTGGTGTAAAAGCGCTCGCCCTGTTGATCGATTATGTATATGTTGGTTAGGTTATGTTCCTTCAAGGAGGTGCTCATGCTCAATTTGCGGGAATACCGTTGAACCTATTTCGCCCAGAGCTCGGGCATAAGGTGAGAAAAGCGCGGTCGGTGGGGATCGAACCGGGGACCTCTCTTAGATGTTTAGATGAGTTTTGGAGTAGGAATATATGTTCGCTTTCCTCAGCTGAGCTCAGAAGAGTTTCCAAAGCTAATCGGAAGAGTTTATATACTAAAATGTAGAGAAATCAGTAGGAATTTTCTCAAAATTTTCATCATCACCAACACGTGTAGTTGATGACCATGTGCATATCCCTTTCCCCCCACATTTTCATATTGTCATCATCATCACCAACACATGTAGTTGATGACCATGTGCATATCCCTTTCCCCCCACATTTTCATATTGTCATCATCATCACCAACACATGTAGTTGATGACCATGTGCATATCCCTTTCCCCCACATTTTCATATTATCATCATCATCACCAACACATGTAGTTGATGACCATGTGCATATCCCTTTCCCCCCACATTTTCATATTGTCATCATCATCACCAACACATGTAGTTGATGACCATGTGCATATCCCTTTCCCCCCACATTTTCATATTGTCGTCATCATCACCAACACATGTAGTTGATGACCATGTGCATATCCCTTTCCCCCCACATTTTCATATTATCATCATCATCACCGACACATGTAGTTGATGACCATGTGCATATCCCTTTCCCCCCACATTTCCATATTGTCATCATCACCAACACATGTAGTTGATGACCATGTGCATATCCCTTTCCCCCCACAGGTGGTTGAGTATATCGATACTGGGTATTGGGGTCAACGCTGCTTGGGTGAATGTGCCAGGATGATCGGCATGGATAAGATCAAAGTCGTCAACGAGGAGTTCAATGCGAAACTCCCTACCAATGTGAGGGGCCTTCCAGGTAGGCTAATTCGAGTCGCGGCGGAAATGTGGTATGTAAATTGCTATCATATTGATTTAAATGATATTAAAACACTAGTGGTGAATCAGTGAGAACAGGTTTTGCATTTCACTTCATGTGAAACTCCAATGAATATTTATTTTTTATATATTATGAATATTTTATCACCGTAGCGCAGTTGAAGTGTCTTGGGCGTTATCGTTTCTTTTTCACTCCCAAGGGTGAGCGTGTTAGATTCAAAATATCCAATTGTGTGTTACTATTATTAGGAATTTTTCAGGATTAGTTTCTGACCTGCTGCGTATCGTTTAGTTGTTTTTGATGAATTTACTCGTTTTTTTCATACTGTATCTATGAGGTTGAGCGTGTAAGATTCAGATTAGGCCCAATGAGTATCTGTCAGGATATTCCGATCTTGATCTGTCGTCCCCGCCCGACGAAGTTTCTTTCATTCACTTCACGGCCAACGAAACTATGGAGGGCTTGGAGTATCTCGACGACAGTTTGGCGAGTGCTTTGAAGGATTCAGGCCGCAATGTTGTTATTGATATGACCAGCACGCTCTTGTCCAGACCAGTTAATGTTGAAAAGTAACAAGTACGATTCGATTTAACCTTGTGAAAATTAAATTGATTCACATTAGTAATTTGCGACATTTCTTCGTATATGAAAACTACTAGTCAAGAACATACTCCACATTTATATTCGTGAAGAATTAGTGAAGCTTCAGTATTTGTATATGTCGTTCATGGCTGATTATGGGGTGAGTTATTTATTCACAGTTACGGAGTTATTTACGCATCGGGCGGCAAGAATCTCGGTCCAGCAGGAGTGTGCCTTGCGATAGTCAGAGACGACTTGATTAGACCGGTAAGAGCTCATATATGAGCAGCGTTGGAATATATGTTTGCTTTCCTCAGCTGAGTTGAGACGTTTTATGAAAATTTACACGCGACTTTGGGGGAAAAGTAAACGAAAAACAGCAAAAAGTTCCAAAAATTTTCAAAAAATTCCTAGTTTGTCACCCACACGCGTAGTTGACCATTTGTATATAGCGTGAATGGGTATGCCCGATTCGAATCGAATTTTGTGGCGGATGTAATTAGCGCGCGCCCATGTGATCGATTATGATTGGTTGTATTGTCAGGGACAACCACCGTATGTTTGCCCGTCGTTTATGGACTACTACGTGCAATCGACCTCAACACCGCTGTGTAGTTTGTACAACACTCCTCCGACGTTTGCCATTTATATGGTGAACCTGGTCCTTGGGTACTACCAGAGGACCTTTGGTGAGAGTGCAACGCTCGCAAATATAGAGCAGAAAGCTATGTAGGAGAAATGGAGGGCCCGGGGATCGAACCTGCGTCTTGGTATTGTCAGACGACGAGCTGCTCAGGTGTGGGGTGTTGTAGATCGCTCCAACGGCTTTTATACGGTAGTAGTGGAATTTGCGGAAAATTTTGAATTTTTTTCCTGAAAATTTAGAGCCCTGTTCGGCCGGCAGATCGTAGTCGTATGTCAGTCTGCGTTCGTGTGAGAGGTGGGGATAGGTCTCTAGAGGACCGCTTTGTTGCCGAGGTAGAAGAGAATAATTTTGTGGCGCGCGAAATTTTTTGGTAGGCGGAAGAAGCTGGTCTGTTCCAGTTGCAGGGCAATAAAATCACCGGAGGGCTCCGCGTTACGTTGTAAGGTTGGGGTGGTCGGTGGGAATCGAACCGGGGACCTTTCGGTTACCCTAGGTACAATGGGGTGAAGGACGAAGCTGTCAATTCTGCTTGCAAATTTATGGAAAACTTCGCGAGGAGGCACCGTTAGGGATGTGGGAGAAGGTGTCTAGTGTATTCTATTTACCAAATCGATCACGTGATCGATTTAATCGTCTGTCGCTGAGTCAGCCAGGCCAGGCCCCCTTGGTTGACTCACTGTTGTTATTTGCCTTATATCTTGCCTTATGTCTTATCTGTGGATTTCTGACTTTTTTCACCCACAGGAGAAATACCATCGCAATGATTCCGTTGACAATCGATCAACTGGGCGTAGCGAGAAAGCGGGTTTTTTTGATGTTGTTAGTGAAAACGGCTGTTTGAACGCTAATGATTTTGTCGCGGCAGTAGAAGTGACCGATTGGTCGGGCCAGACCCCCTCGGTCGATCGGTTGCTTTCGTGACTTAATCTATGCGATAAACGCCGTATGTAGTCGGGACAATTTACACAGTGATGTGATCATCGCAGTTGTCCGTCTAGTAGCTGCTGCTGTATTGGTCTGTTGTGTTGGTTAATCGAAATGCCAAACTCAAATGATGGGAATATTCGAACATGTATGTGCTGATGGCTGGGCAGGAGGGTGGGGGGAATATTGCAGACATGATTCCATGGGAAATAGGAAGTAAAGAATAGGAAACAGTTCGTTGTGATGGATAATACAGATCGACAATCACGACACGGTCATTGGCGGCATAGGACCGGCGGCCTACTAGTCTAATAGTGTGTTGGCACATTGCGGCTGTGCGCACTATGGAGCGGCGAGGTTTTTGGGAAGGGGATTTTCGCTCGCCAGGATATCGTTAGTGAATTGAGTTATATGAAATTGCAAGGTCACTCATGGAACCTCCAGTCACAAAGGGACTGGTGGTGAAACAGGTTTGACCGGTCAAAATCCACGCCGAGCAAGCTCCGACTCCGGGCGGAGAGCAGAAATGCGCCGCTCCAGAACACAATTGTGTTTGCGTGCATAGCTTGAAATCGATCAACCACTGCAGCGGGTGCAACATAATCAATTGCATGTTGAGCAAGCTGACAGAAACTCGTATCTGTCAGCTTGGCTCAAGAGACAAGCAAGGGCTTGCTCTTCACGGTTTTCCCCTCCCACACCACCCAGGGAAGACCCCAAACCGGAGACATTTCGACCTGACTCAGCTTCAGCCAGCGTGGAAAGGTTCAACCTCAACCTGTGAGAAGCTGAGGGTCAGCTCAAACCAAAAATGAGGGTACAAAATTTTTCAAATTGTCGACGGTAACTTTTGACCCTCAGAAACACCACCACTGATACCTCCGAGCAGTCAGTGCTTGTGGTTTGAGCACGGTCGGGCATCTGCGCTACTGGTCGCGGTTTCACAAACGTCTCCCACCCAGTAGCTGCAGAAACACACAACACGAGGAACGCGTTCGCGAATCGCTCGACTAGCCTTCGAACGAGAACAATATTGCACAGCAATCTCGGCTAGTTCTGCGGCTTCGTGCAGTCGAACCGGCCGAGCGGCTCCCTGCTTCACAGCTCGCCTTCCCATTGTCGGAGCTTAGCAGTGGCAGCTGGATTTTGATCTCTGATGAGGGCAGGGTAGATCTGTGAGAAGAGGGGTATGGGGTTATGAATGTGCCTGTGGGGCATGTGTGAACAGAGTTGTCGTGGGGAAATCGGTGGAGCTCCGCACAGGCAGTTTAAGAACAGCTAACAGCAGCAACGACCGACGGGTATCGTCGTGTGGAAGCGAACTACGGCCATCCGCGATTATTTCTCATGTGAACTCGTTAGGTGTAAGGAAACGTACGGGCTGTGAGAAGGAATTTTTCGCGCACATTCGTAATCGCTGCAAAAATGGCAGTAAGTAGTGTGAGAGTTGTTATATATAAGACTCTTGGGAATCCATCTGGGAGGGCACTGTTACCAGCAGAGTAGTTTTGGAGGACTAATGTCTCTCTCATCACGCCTCGTGGACGACGTGGATTGACGCTGCATATTTCCACGACACATTTGTTACATTTTTCTGTTGTTCATTTTGTTGAGCTTTCATCGTGGGGAAGGGAACGCAGCTTTCAGCAGAGTATGTTGAAAACAATGCAGTTGTAATGCAAGGTGTAACCACTGCTTCTCACAATCACATTCATTTACCAGACAAAAAATCACTTTCAAACGTTGTTGCCTCCAGAGGGAGTCTCGACGACTTCACCGAAATAGCACCCTTGGGAGTGGGCGCGTACTCGGCTGTGTAAATAGCATCCACGTTTTGAGCTGCCTCCTGAGGAGTGCCGATTAGGTATAAAGTATTGCGGAAATCGGATCAAAAGGTGTATGCATTGAAGAGAGTTAAACTACCGAGTTTGTCGGAGAAGGAGAAGGAAAACTCTTTAAATGAAGTTAGGCTGCTGGCCAGCATCAAGCATGACTCAGTGATTGCGTAAGAAATAAAGTATAGCCGAATGGCGGGATTGAACCGCCGACCTTCAGTTTACAAGACTGACGCTCTACCACTAAGCTAAACCGGCTTGGAAGATATATATTCGTGTCAACACGCCTTTACTCAGCAGTGTTGAAATTATTTCAACACTGCTGAGTAAAGACGAATATATATTTCAATGAAATATATATTCGTTTCCCTCAGCTGAGCTCAGGAAATTCCTCAACAATTATAGGAGTTAGGGCTGAAGTGGACAGAAATTTTTTTTCAAAATTTCCTCAAAGTTCATGTAGTTGATGATCATGTGCATATTTTCCACCCACACTGCTACTCAGATACAAGGAGGCTTTCTTCGTTGATCGGGGTCATCAGCTGTGCATAGTAACCGAGTACGCAGATGGAGGAGATCTCTTCCAAAAGATTGTAAAATACAGAGTCAACGGTCGTCAGTTGAGTTCCTTAAACTCGGCAGATCGAACATCAGAAGAGTAGATTGTTTATGCGAGAGGACGACATCTGGCGTATCTTCATCGGGATGTGCTACGGCCTGAAGGTATGATGGGGGGAAAGGGATATGCACATGGTCATCAACTACATGTGTTGGTGATGATGATGACAATATGAAAATGTGGGGGGAAAGGGATATGCACATGGTCATCAACTACATGTGTTGGTGATGATGATGACAATATGAAAATGTGGGGGGAAAGGGATATGCACATGGTCATCAACTACATGTGTTGGTGATGATGATGACAATATGAAAATGTGGGGGGAAAGGGATATGCACATGGTCATCAACTACATGTGTTGGTGATGATGATGACAATATGAAAATGTGGGGGGAAAGGGATATGCACATGGTCATCAACTACATGTGTTGGTGATGATGATGACAATATGAAAATGTGGGGGGAAAGGGATATGCACATGGTCATCAACTACATGTGTTGGTGATGATGATGACAATATGAAAATGTGGGGGGAAAGGGATATGCACATGGTCATCAACTACATGTGTTGGTGATGATGATGACAATATGAAAATGTGGGGGGAAAGGGATATGCACATGGTCATCAACTACATGTGTTGGTGATGATGATGACAATATGAAAATGTGGGGGGAAGGGATATGCACATGGTCATCAACTACATGTTGGTGATGATGATGACAATATGAAAATGTGGGGGGAAAGGGATATGCACATGGTCATCAACTACATGTGTTGGTGATGATGATGACAATATGAAAATGTGGGGGGAAAGGGATATGCACATGGTCATCAACTACATGTGTTGGTGATGATGATGACAATATGAAAATGTGGGGGGAAAGGGATATGCACATGGTCATCAACTACATGTGTTGGTGATGATGATGACAATATGAAAATGTGGGGGGAAAGGGATATGCACATGGTCATCAACTACATGTGTTGGTGATGATGATGACAATATGAAAATGTGGGGGGAAAGGGATATGCACATGGTCATCAACTACATGTGTTGGTGATGATGATGACAATATGAAAATGTGGGGGGAAAGGGATATGCACATGGTCATCAACTACATGTGTTGGTGATGATGATGACAATATGAAAATGTGGGGGGAAAGGGATATGCACATGGTCATCAACTACATGTGTTGGTGATGATGATGACAATATGAAAATGTGGGGGGAAAGGGATATGCACATGGTCATCAACTACATGTGTTGGTGATGATGATGACAATATGAAAATGTGGGGGGAAAGGGATATGCACATGGTCATCAACTACATGTGTTGGTGATGATGATGACAATATTAAAATGTGGGGGGAAAGGGATATGCACATGGTCATCAACTACATGTGTTGGTGATGATGATGACAATATGAAAATTTTGAGGAAATTCCTATTGGTTTCTTAACATTTCGAGCCTTATTCGTATATAAACTCCTATAATCAACAAGGAAACTCCCGAGATCAGCTGCGGAAAACAATCGAATATTCCGACACTCCTGAGAAGTGTATCATTCCCCGACTTCCTCAGGCCCTCCACGACTTAAAGATTTTGCACAGGGACTTGAAGAGCGCCAACGTTTTCCTAACGCGCGGGGGCGATGTCAAACTCGGCGACTTCAACGTTTCCAAAGTCGCTAAGCGTGGCCTCCTTTACACCCAGACGGGAACGCCTTACTATGCGAGTCCAGAAGTAGCCTCCTCCTCCTCCTCGCCACCACCGTTGAAGCCACTTTTATTCCGACGTAGGTGTGGAGAGACAAGCCGTATGATATCAAGAGCGATATCTGGTCGCTGGGCTGTGTGCTGTACGAGATGGTCTCCCTGCGGCCTCCTTTTCGGTGGGTAAAATCGGTTAAATTCTCATTCACTTGGATGACTCAGCGCTGACGATATGGAGGGTCTGTACAGGAAGGTCCTCCGAGGGGCTTTCCCCCGCATACCGCCATGTTTTAGTTCGGACCTTTCACAGGTGATTCCCGCATCTACTTTTCTTCCACAAGTGAACGACGATGTAGGTGATAAGCATGCTACTAGTGGTGAACCCCAAACGCCGACCGACCATATCCCAACTCTTGCAACAACAAGTCATGCAACACCACATACGGGAGATCCGCGATGATCCTCTATTGATGAACCCATCAGTGATGGAGAATAACTGTTGTGGCGGCCTTCTGAATACCATCAAGTTCCCAAGGGACGCCAGTGCGACAGATCTCGCGAGGTGGGCGCCGATGAGTATATAAGCCTCACGTCTCGATCGCAGTATAATGCCGAAGCCTCGCTACGATGACGACGTCTCGGTGGGCGATAATACACAGCAGTGCACAGCAACGCTCGAATCCACGGATGCTCCTCCATCGCAAAATGAACCAGAAGCGACCCCCCAGCAAATGCAACCCCAACCTCCCCGTATCGAGAGCTGTCGTTTACCGCCGATCATTGAGAGTCGTGACCGAACTGGCGGGTGAGGGAGCTCCCAGCTGAACTCGTGCTCAGCACATGACCATCTCAGACCCCGGCCATCCCCCAAAGCTCCACCGGTTGAGCTTGGGAATGTTGTCAATGCTGTCCCACAGAGGCGGCGTCAGACTAACGAACCGCATCAAAGGCCACACAACACAAGAGGGAATCGAAACTCGGTCGCATACCGACAATTCGTCGGCAATTTCCCTCCGGCTTACTACGAATATCGAGCAGATGCCAATAAGAGGTATGGTGATGACTCAGAGATGGTCGCACCTCATCGCTCGATAGATACTGCATACCAGAATCGGATATAGTCCTCAGGGAGGCCCAGAGACTTGTCGACGACGCAAGAGTAAGCTTAGATGTATCACGCTGAAATGGTCTAGTTGGTTATGACGATCGCCTCACACGCGATAGGTCCCGAGTTCGATTCTCGGTTTCAGTATTTTCAATCTTCTCAGTCCCGCGTTCCCAATTCACAGCGTCGACATCCCTTACAAGGACCTCGACGGCATCAGTACGGCGGCTCCCCCAATATGCGTGTTCCTAATATTTACCGTACTTCTATACTAACCTTTCGAGTGACCATATTCTCACCCACTTCAGGCCGGGCCAGTGTTGTCCATAATGGAAGGACTCCAACTCAGCATTACGGCATTAACCACAGTGGAACGCCCGCCTCGTTGGGGGGTAAGTGACTTCATGAAGTCCAGTCGTTCTTTTTTGGGTATAATATTTCAACTCAACAAACTGTCATCTCAGATGCATGTCAACGTTTACCAAAAATCGACCACCATCATGCAGGTAATTCAGATTCTTTCTTCAACTCACCCCCAACTATTTATCAGTATAAGAGTGCAGATAATCTTATTTTAAAATACATCTATTATTACATGAAACACATTAAAAATAACATACATTCTGCCGTCAGGAATTCCATACCGATGCAGAGGAGGGGGAGGACTTTCAGCTGCCTACCATCACGGAGGCCCTTCGAGAGGCATAAGGTGAGTAAGAGCACCTCCACCACTGCCCGAAACCTTCCCCTCAGCAACCCTCGTTACGTCCTGGCGCCTATCCCCCACCCAACCAGCGTCAACAAAATGGTCTACCTCGACAATCGAAGAGGTTCCAGAGTGAGAATTGCCATTCCCTTCGCGATGAAATACTCTCCCATTTTCAGGTGTAATTCTGCTTGTCGTCGTCGAATGCACGATATCCTTGTCTATTCACCGGTTGTTCAAATCACAAGCCTCGAGTTCTAGTTGCTGCCCCTCATTTTTTCTACGTTATGGTGTCGAAACCGCCGATTGCTTACACGATTATGCAGGGGGAACAACAAAACCCACAAGAAATACGGAGTATGATTTCCAACATTCTCTCACTCTACCCACTTAAATACGATTCATCCCTATGCTGTTAGGAGCAACAAAATATGTATCAAATTGGCGACCATCTTATTGTAGTGTTTATCACTCTCGCAGTTGCTTACTACAACCTTCTCCCACCTCGCACTTCCGAACCAAGTTCACCAGAAAGTATAGCTTTTCTCCATCGTTCGAGAGACATACTCTTCCCCACTGCCCACGTTCACACAACAACCATCAACACTTCAAAGAAACACTTAAACCCACACAACGTCAATACATTTAATCCCTTTCATAATCACCATACCAATACCCTCTACCCATAATCCCCTTCCCTTTCCTTGCCTTACCATATACTCCCTTTCCCCACCCCTTCCCCTTCGCCGGAACAAACACCCAATACCCCTTCCCCTTACCCGCCATGCAACCATCATCACCCTCCGAATCAGAATCATATCTCATACCTTTTCCCTTCCCTTTCCACGATGGAACAAATCCTTTTCCCTTATAGCCCTTCCCACCCTTATAATAATCACGATAACCCTTCCCCTTCCCTTTACCCCCAAAATCTTGCTCATCTTGCCTTCCCTTACCTTTCCCTAACGCATACAATCTCCCTTTTCCTCTCCTCTGAATCACTTCCTCCGAACCACTCTCCGACACCGTTTTACCCTTGCCACTGTCAATACCGTCAAAACGACCTTTTCCCTTCCCTTTCCTCATCGGACTTCCCTTCACGTAGAAACCAGTGCCACGCCAATGATCTCGCCACCCTTTGCCCTTCCCATACTGACTCGAGCCCTTCCCCTTTCCCTTACGCGGAAAATTCTCCACCGAATCGTCATCAGATGTGGAAAGCGAGCGAATCTATAAAGAAAAAAAACTCGCGAATTTTCCGTCGGAAATTGGACACCTCACAAACCACGAAATTATATCCACAAACATTTAATTAAAATTATCGGAAAAGTTTCAAGACTTCACCTAAAAAGTAAAAATCTGAAATTTTCTAACAATAACACAAACAAAAACTACAACGAAAATACAAAATATCCTCACAAACGATAAAATTTTTAATTAAAATTCCATCAAAATAGAGTTTCACCCGTTTTACGTGAAGTGGTGAAAAACGCGATATTCGCGGTGATATGCAGTAGTCGTGAAATATGTTTTTCACTACTGTTTTTCATATCACTAGGGTGGTGAAACTCCAATGAAACAAATATTCACCTTTTCCTTTCCAATTATATCGTCACGACCACGAACATCAAAATCATCCTTTTTTCCGACCAGGGGACCTGAGCTGAAAAATAAAAAGAAAAATCAGAAAAAACTCATACCTTTAAGATTAGCAGTAACCATTCAGGCGCGCGAGGGGAAGGGAAAATAAAATAAAATCTACAACAAAAAATATCTTAGGTTCTCCTAGGCAACACTCAGATGAAAAGATACCCCCAAGCAATAAATCAATCATTAACAGAAACTTTCTAATACGGCATGAGCTTGTACAAGATTCGGGCCAACCATGGCATCTTCTCAAACTCCTCCTTCTCGACGGCTTCGACCTCCTCATTACCTGAAAAATGAAAAAAATACAATTAACGGCGAGTGTTGGCTATGACACTATGAAAATTCTACGAGGAAACTTTCTGTACACTTCTACCCTTCTGAGCTCAACTGAGGAAGGCAAACATATACCACCTTACTGGTTAGAAATACTAACCCAGTAAGACCGACGAATTTTCCATTTGCACTCAGAATGGGAAAGTAAATTTACTAAAATTCAAAGCACTGCTGAACCCAACTACAATGAAAACCCGAAAACCCGAAACCCGAACTATAATTAAAACCCGAAACCCGAAGTCCAACTACCCACCTTCCCCTCCTCGAACTCTCATCAGAGAAACTTCATAGATTAATATACGATTCGGCCACCTACCACCAACACAAAGATATTCGGGCGAGCGAGATTTACA